GTAGACAAAGTAACGGAATTTTTGTTTCTAGTTACCCTTTTCGTTACTAAATTACGATACAAATACAGGTTTTTATAAACCGATTCACAGAAACATTGTCAGCTATATATAAATGCATAAGAAGTTAGGGGACATAGGAATATTCCTATGCCCATGTTAAGGAAGACCGAAAGTTTCATGAATCTTTCACTAGCCACACAGCGCTGTAATCGTTGTGTACGTCAGGTCAGGTCCATGCTGATAACGACCACGTGTATTACACAGTTTCATAACCTGTAAATATTGTAACAACCAATTGTATTATAATGTTCCAAAACCATATGAAACAGTTATATTGAAAAAAACTAAAATATAAATATGTGCACTAAATAGCATATGTTCCATACGCGTTTTTATAATTAATATTATAGGAAAATTGTAACACGTATTCTAATAAATTCAAATTAAATATCACAAATTAAAATAATTGATAATACAACGATAGAATAGGTTGCAAAAGGTAGTACAAAGTATTCTGTAGATAGTATTATAATAAAACAAAACAGAAAGCATAAAAATATATTGTATTTTTCTTTTAGCACAATGAGTTTTAATAAAGTGGAAGAATTTATAAAAGAAGGCGATGTAGTAGTTTTGTATCTAGGACCTACTAATATGCATTTCTTAGAAATCAAACCAAAAATTCTGAATAAAAAGGGTAGTATGGTTGATAATGTTTTTCAAACAATATATGGAGCGCTTAAAGTTATATCTCTTGTTGGACAAAAGTATGGTACAAAGGTGCAACTTTCACGTGGTTGGGGATACGTGTTACAACCAACACCAGAACTTTGGACATTAACAGTCCCTCATAGGACACAAATTATATATAGTCCTGATGTAAGCCTAATTATATATTTAATGGATTTGGCACCAGGAAGTGTGGTCATTGAAACAGGTTGAGCACATACTTATTTTATCTATTGGAGAGAACATTTTTATTTCTGCTGTAAATACAAATATTGTAAATAGTTATAAATGTAATATATAGAATGAGTTGCTCAAATGTTCAACCTAAAATATATTTATCATTATGTAATATTACAGAGAATATCTAATAGAGAATTTATTCCATTTCATAAGATCTAAGAATATTTGAAAACAGTTTTTTTATAAACCAAGATTGTTAAGATTTCAAAATCATTTTGTGTTTTTTTAGTTATATTAAACTTTTTGAATTTTCGTTATAGTCTGGTAGATATTACAAAGCCAAAATAAGTGACTCTATGACCTTCACATGACCCTGACCCCCTATATATAAAATGGTAAACCCTGATTGATGATTATTTATTGTAACTGATCAAATACAAGTAAATATACAGTGCAGACAGTTGAAAATTAATCAATGTTCGAAAATATAGCGTTGAAAGACATTATTTTGTATTATTATTATTGATTTTGGTATTGATTATAGAACTGTTATGATGAAAAATGTAATGTTGAATTTTAAAAATGTTTCAACATAACTTTTAATCGTAAAACTGATTACATCCCTAAAACTGTTTCCAACTATTTAAAATATGCTATTAAATGAAACGAATTATTTTTCAAATACTTGCTTGGTAATAGTAAAATGGAAATATCATTTAAGATGAAATGTTTGAGTGATTTACCCTATGTATGTTAAGTATTCTTAATTCTTATGTTTTCTTATTACAGGTACGGGAAGCGGATCTCTTTCGCATGCACTTATTCGTGCAATACGTCCTCATGGGCATCTTTATACATTTGACTTTCATGAACCCCGTGTCAATATTGCCCATGCAGAATTCCATAGTCATGGTCTCGGTGAATTTGTAACAGTAGGTCATAAAGATGTTTGCATGGAAGGATTTGGGGAATTAAATAATAAAGTAGATACAATATTTTTGGATCTTCCCCATCCATGGTTGGCAATTGATCATGCATTATGCACTTTTAAAAAATCAGGTACAAAATAACTAAACTGAATTGAATATAACTTTTTAGTTTACGTTATATTCGAGTATATCTTTGTATGACAACGTGTAAACAAATATAGTAGCGTTACCTTCTTAATGTATTTTATTTTCATGGTGTTTTCTTTTCTACAGAATTCATATAATTAAAGCAACGATAATTAACGTAATATTATGAAATAAACAGATATATAATTCTGAGAATTTCTTAAGTAAAACTACAAATTTTCTTAATTATTTTTCAGGTGGAAAACTTTGTTCTTTTTCTCCTTGTATCGAACAAGTGCAACGTACTTGCGCAAAATTAACATCAAAGGGGTTCATTGAATTAAACACGTACGAGTGTTTGCAAAGGGAAGTGAATGTACAATATAAAAATCTTCCTATGCTGGATTTAGAATGTTTGAAACATGAGGTTGGTAAAAAAACATACAACAGATAGTGTTATGTGGTAGAATATGGATGAATACTCTTTGGAAAAAATTACAATTTTTATTTAATTTTGTAGAAAAATATCGCAATTATCATAGTAGCGTAAATGGCACGTGCATTTTTGTTGTATTGACAATAATATTAAAGTTTTGAAATACTAATATTTATCGTGTAACTATGTTCTAGCATATGAATACAGATATGGCACAACAAAGTGAAAATGAAAAACAAAACCAGACAAAACTTCTTACGGTGACGCATGCTCGTTCTCTACCTGGTCATACAGGGTTTATTACAATTGCTACACTACCCCCGTGTTATGCACGAAAGTCGGAAATAAGTTTAGAATCTATAAACTAATTAAATTCGAAATTGTGGCGAAGAGAAAATCACAAATGTTCATTACTTCTGTCACGTTGAAAATACGATTTCAGATCTATTCGGTTCGTAAAAACTACTGATAATAAAGAAAGCAGTGTAAAATTAAGAAATTATGCTTAGATTTTAAATTGTTACTTGTACGCATAATAATCTCGTTACAATTCCAAATGTTTTATGATTCTGCTTTGTTCGGATTCCAAGACAAGTAGTCGACTCGCGTAGCGGCCTGATATTCTTTTACTAAATATTCGACGACCTCCCTAGAATTATCTAACTCATCCAAATTGTCTTCAAACATCTTCTCTTTGCGGAATTGTTCCAAAAATGCTTCTCGTTTTCGTAGTTTATCATATTGTTGTAAGGCACGATCAAATAACTGAAATGTTTCATATAATAATATAAAAGACAAATTGTTCATCATATATAACCATTTTATATACCAAAAACTACATTTTCTGTAAATTATATATTTAGATCAAATTATAGAATAATTTCTCAAGCGTTAAAATAATTAAGTAATATAATTATATTACGATTTTACTTATTTGCGTAAAAGTATTTGTACAATAGAAATAACTTACAGACGATATGTTTGTATGATTTGCTAACATTAAACCAGACACTCTGTGGGTACTTTGTATATAAGGGGACTTTCTTGATAAAGCTACTTGTATACTAGCGGGGCCCCAAGGTATAAATTGTGCGAGTTTTCGTTCTCTTATTCTTTGTAGTGACTTATGTACTTGCGTCGGATCTACTTCACCCTGTAAAAAATGGTATAATTATAATTTTATGCATTTTTACATTGTCTACTTTAAAATTTGAAACTTTCCTGGATAATATTTAGAATAGATATGTAACAATGAGACGCATTCCTATCCAAAGCAGTAGAAACCATCATATTTTTTGGTTGCAACAAACGCCTCATGACATCCAAAACTGACGTTTTCCTCACGGAAGCTCCCTATTTAAATGTAGTACATGCTACTTTAATAATGAATGAGAACGTACAATCCTTCTTGAAAACGTACATCTTCTAAATAAATTTGTTATTTCATATTTAATTACGTGGTTACTCACTTCTTGATCAGTAGTAAGTGGAGTATATCCTGTCATGAGAAAATGTAAGCGTGGTGTTGGAATTAATGGAGCAATTAGGCCTACCAAGTCGTTGTTCATATATGATGGGTACCTAGTATTTAAAAGATATGATTTAGTTAATAAAGTACTTTTTACTCTAGATAAATAATACTCTACCGGAGTGTAGTGGTGCTAACAGACATTATAGTAGAAACAAGTTGATTAATCTGTGTGAAACTGGGATTTTGAATATGAAGTCTGTCTGATGCTATTCTGTTAAGCGCAGTGTTATCTAAAACAACAACGCAATCAGCACATTGTGTCAATCTCTTCAGTGTTAACAAAGAATTGTATGGTTGTACTACCACATCACTAAAAGAAAAACGACACAACTAAGTTTATCATTTCTTATGGTTTTATTTGAGTATAATGTTTCTGCGCAAAACATACCTTATTTCATCTTGATTTGGGAAAACGCTGTAAGTTTCTATCAACTTTTTCGGATATCTATCCGCAAGAGATTCTAGCATAAAAGAGCCCATACCTGAACCTGTACCACCTGCTATGGAATGACATAAAACGAATCCCTGTAAATGCAAATAATGTTAATAATACTTTAAAATGGAAAGTTACCTTTCTTAATATACATACAAACATACCTCTAAACTGTCACTTCCATCAGCTTCTCTATCTAAAATATCAAAAATTTCTTCCTGAAGTTTCTCTCCCTGATGATAACCAGATGCCCAATTATTTCCAGCACCACCTCCATGTTTTGATAAATAAATATTCTCAGGATTGTACAACTTATGGAAAAATAATTTTTATATTAATAAATGCATTTATTGGCATTCTAAATAAATTAAGAGGGAAATGCTTTACTTGACAGTTATTAATAATAATAATTACTTCACAATCTATTTATTCATTATACTCTTTTAGACATTTAAGAACTACTGTGCAAAGTCACAATAAGTGTAGAATAATTGTAAATCTGCATAAACATTTGCAATTTTATAAATGCTTGTATACATGTATGCAATAATACCTTTGAATATGGAGAATTCATAATTGTATGAATTACTCTAGGTTCCAAATCTAATAATACTGCTCTTGGTATGTAATGTTCATCATCTGACTGATAAAAAAATACATCTTTCCTGTCAGTTCCTTCTGTCGCATAATCTTCTAAAATACCTTCTGGACTAATGCCATGCTCTGCACATAATTTCTTCCAAAACTCAAATCCAACTAAAAAAAAGAATGCAAAATTAAAGATTAAGAAACTTCGGTGGATACTAAAAAAATTCAGTATTTCAATATTGTTGTATAAATCAATACCTTTGGATTTATTTTTTACAGTATTACACTAAAAAAAAACAGTGGAGAGTAAACTTTCCATAGAAACTAGAAGAAATATTCTAAGTAGATGAATGTTTCAATAGCGTAATAGAAAATGCAATGTCAAAAATACTGACGATAAAATATTTCACTATGTATCAATAATAAACAAACTGACATTTCGTTACAAACACACATTAAAAATCACTTACTCTGATTGCCGCATTGGCCAAGTTGCAAGGTAATCATTTCACAAGGCATTTTCACTTTTTTATTATTAACTTTTCACGGAGACACGGATTAATAGATCACAATTATTTGACTTTAATTTTACGCGGGATGGACTTCTGATTTGATTGACATTTCACCTTTTACCAGCACATATGTTACTATTCCCTTTTTACCAACAAATACAACTAAAGAATAGTAATATTTATTTATATTGTGTATATCAATTTTGATAATATATATTTTTTTATTTAAGTAAAAGATAATGGTATATAAAATAGTTACTGATATTGTTTTTGTTTATGCGATAGTACTATCATGGACCTCGCGGTGCACACCAGTGATGGGGGAAGCATCGCCTCCACCAGCCGCGGGCTCCTGTGGAGGCGATGCGAGGCAAGAAATGTCACGACAAATTTGTATATTGGGATTTTTTGACACTTCCTGCAGATTTTAATCTAAACTAGAGTATCACTCGTATAGATTAATAATAATTTGTGTTTCTTTTTATTAAAAAAAGATAGAAGCAACCTGATCATTTATCAGCCACGCGAAAACGGTGCCTTTATATTGAATATCATATGTAAGGAGTATCACCGACGAGGTATAGGATAGACTTAGCATCTTATGGGACTTCGTGTCTCATGTTCTGAAATACCGATAGTGTAAAAAGTCAGGGATTTTCTGCTGCCCTCTACGTTATGAGAACGGTGAATTTGTGAACTACGTTAAATCCATTCGAGCTCAACTAGTCTAACTTCTACAGTGTTGTCGAGTCTAAAGTACAATGTTGTCAGATCATGAGTGTTCGGTACGTCGGAAAATCATCAAAGGAACCATGGTCGTAAACGGATTCTCTTCCGTCCGTTCACTGTAAAGTAGACGTATTAGAAAGGAGTCTTCGGTTCGCGTCCCGACGGACCTATTGGTTTTTTTTCGCGTACAAAAAAGTTATTGCGCTTAATATTGTTTTTATGAATATGTATATATATTATTATGTACATTTGAGTAAATTATTTTATTATTCCATTGTTATTACAACAGTTTAACAGTGACAACGAACGCATGTATATTTTCAAATATCGGACTAACAGTATATTTTTATTCTATTTTATTACATATAAGTGAGTAATACGTATCAAAAACGTAATCGTAAATCTGCCGTATGATGTTCTAAGCTTCATATGCAATACGTTTGTCTCGAAATTTTCATTCTTGGGGACATACGACAGATGTCGGAGTCCTGTGGAGGGGTTGCGAGGCAGGACACATCACGAGTCGTGATTCACGACATATTTATGTTTGAAGTAAATGATAGATACGGGCTCTCACTCACACATTTCACCCACCACTGCCATATGCCCGTACGCTGGTTGGTCGAAGTTTTTCATTAATATCTTGTTAACAATAGCATCTGAGAACTTTTTCGCTAAGGAAAAAGTTGTTTCATATCACCCCATAATTAACAATGGAATGTATCCAAGAACAAAATCACAATTACAATTTTATATTTATCGCATTAAAAATTTGTGAAAAAAATTCTTATTGAACGAACTGCAATTCAGGCTTTTAAGTTTTATATACTTGATTATAAAGCAGTAAGTCAATAAAATGACGAATGCAGTAGTGATTCTATTTAATAGATACACTTTAATATTCCTTGTATTTATATATTTAATATTCTTTGAAGAATATATTGACTAGTGCACTGTTTACAGCTTATTGTTGCTTACTTTCATGGTTAATTATTCTATCGTTTACGTAATTTATTTATTATGTTCTATTTAGTAATTCATTAATTCCTTCTTTTCTAGATGATGTGCATAATAGGTTTCCGTGCTTTAATTATTTAACTAAACAAATACTGTTACCAATTGAGGAATCCAATACAGATCAAGGGAGGTCTAGGGGGGCTGTAGCTCCGGGCCCCACGTTTCAAGAGGGACCCGTTCTGAACCTTCCATTTCGTTATGATTAAACGTTATTTAATTTTATTTGATAAATTTCAATTTTTGAAGATTTATGTATTTTGTTGTGCTGTAGGTATTATAAAAAATCCCGCCCCCCCTACTTTTTCACCAAGGGGGCCACCGAAAATTTGATAGTCCTGGGCCATACAAAATCTTAATGCAGGCCTGGTCGCGTTGTGAGATATTGAAGCTTTTATGAAAAGTAATATTTATCATAGTATAATATGATGGTACATACGAGTGGTGGCCAAATCTTGTCAGGATAGGAGCCATATATCACCTATCAGAGATACTCGAGAACCTGAGCAGAGTATTAGAGTATGAGTTATGCTTACAATCTGTATGTATATCCTACTGCATAATAAAGTCAGCAAACTTACAAACATATGATATTATATACGTATATATAGTATGTGTCAGTTTATAAAAAAACATTGCATAAGTATATGGAAGCCGCAGTGAGAGTCTAAAAGAGCCGCAGTTTGGCCACCGTGGATATATACAATCATAAGACAAGCAAGAATTTTGCCATGTAGTTATAAATTAGATGAAAGAATTAATAAAAATCTAATTTTTCAACATTTTGTGGCATAGCTCCCTCTTGCAGTAGACCTGTGAATTTATCGTATATGGTGGTCAATATCTAATGTCAATTTACTGTAATATATTCTTAAATAAGAACAATCTGCGATCATAAATCTGAAACGTAAATTTATAAATATATGGATAATATGTATATCAGAATTTAAAAAACTAGATATACCTATATAGTAGAACTGTCAGAGGAGCTGTACTAGCATGCCATAAAGAGTGAGCGTCAAATACCCAAAAAATTGGTGAAAAATCTGCTACTTCCAATATAGTAACAAGAACAGTTAGCACATTAAACCAACCAATCAGGTAAATGTAAGATAATCTTTTACGATTACGGTGCCACCATATCATTGTAATAATAAATGTTAAAAAACCTAGAAGTATTTTAAAGTGAATATAATTTTACTATTTCTCATGAAAACATAAATTATACAAATTATATATTAAAATTACCTATCACAACATTAAATTTCATATTGTAGTCATAATTTATATCACCAGACCACAAATGTGATAAATGGGTGTACAAAGTACTAAGGTATCCGCTTGTAATCACAGCAAATATTCTATTATTCTTGTATGTTATTCTAGAAATAAAAAGTGAAATGTATTTCTAATTTGCATTAAAGATTATAAAGTGTGTCATATGATCAATGTATTACTGATGGGACTTTCTGTATTAAATTGATATTAAAAAATAATCTTGTATATTATAATTAGAAATTATATATTACCTTAATAACATACAGTACAATAATGTAAGGACCATAACAAATGCGCTAGAATAATCCATTACTTCTGTAAATGATGTATCTCGTGCATGAAAAACAGAAGACCAAAACCAGCCATGTATGCATATCTAAAATAAAATTAATTATAATTTGCATAACAGTGAAACATATCCATGCACAATTGAAGAAAATAGAATATAGTAACTAAATAAAAATATATAAAGGTACAATATACCATACTAAAGTAAGTCCATATATAAAACATTGGTTCATTGGGCCTCAATTTTCTTTTAAATTTCCAATACATGGTAACATGAGCACATAAATTTAATAGAGAAAATATGACAGATGCAGGTTCCTGACATCCAAAAATGCGGATAAATGGCCACTAAAATAAAAATGACAAATAACTTACATGACAGAATCTATTTTTAACATTTATTTATCTAATATAGATATTATATACTTTTCCATGAAACTGAGGAACTTTTAAGCCATGAGAAGTAAAATAATTAACTGTCTCCCAGGTACAGCTATAACTACAATCTTCTTTACATGACCAAAGTAACATTCTTAATGATACAGAAGGCTGTACTTTAAAGTCTTCATCTGTAAAATGTTAATAAACGATAAATATTACATCCTTTATGAAAAAATACAGTTGAACATCAATCAACAAAACAATTTCAATAGATTTACAATTACGAGATCTAATGTGATGTAAAATCATACATACATACATTGATAAATACTTATAAATATATGTATAGATTTACCAGAAACAAATTATATATTTTATTTCTTTATTCGTGATCCACATTGAAACTTGTGAAAATATTAAGTGACATATAAAACATAATATATTTTTTACTTTTTCAAAGTAGGTATGTATTACACTTGTGGCGATATTACAAGCTTTAAACGGCATTTTTTAAAAGTTCATATTGCATTATCAGTTGTGTAATAACATTATAAAGAATGCGTACCGCCTACACAATTATTGTCACGACATTTTGAGAGACATAAACTATAAAATTGTGACCTATCTCCAGTTGAACCAGTTGTATTTGCTATGAACAATATTTGAAGTATTAAAACGAAAATCCATCTCCCTTCTGACATGCCGCTCGTGTGCCGCAGGTGCCGCTACAAACTGTACTGGGTACTGGGTGTCTTGAATTAACTGTAAGTGATGTGAAACTGTGTAAAACCTTATTAGTAATGAAACTGTTTCAGTGAACCCAATAAAATGTCAACACTACTTAATACCATTATTTAAAATCCTCAATCATTTATTGAATGTTGAATATGAATACTTTCAGTATCTAGTTTTTGATTACCAGTTCCAGTTTCTGTGAAAAATAAAAGATTATACTTCCGGTAAGAAATCGTAAGAAAGCCATAAGAGCTGTGTTAAAAACTGAAATTTGACAAACTTTTTCTTATTTATTTCATCGGCGACCTAGTCTCTCACATTTTTCGAGTGTGTGTATTTCGTTCTAATAAACAATCTGTATGAATTTTATTTAATTATCTAGTCTTTCGAATTTGGCACGAATCACCTTAAGTATTCATTTTTTATTTGAAGCATCTGCCACAGTACGCCATATTGCATTTTAGTTGTCTCATTTCCGCTGATTAACTGTGGCGGCGCCAAAAACGCTATTCGATTCGTAAACACGAGAGTGCAACCCCCCGATAATACCAGAGAGGAAATATAATACGTGTTGATACGTGTCAGCGGTGTCAATACGTGACCTATCATGACGAGTAACATGTTTTTATGAATATAATATGTAAACAATATGAAACACAAATTTTTGAGCCTTTAAACAATTTGAAATGTACACTCTTTTGCATGGATTGTACAAGTATATTGTGCAAAAAGATGAATATTTCATACTAATATTAGGACTCGACAATGCTGGGAAAACAGTAAGATATGACGAAGTGTGCGAAGTCCAGGTTAAATCGTTATAAATTTATTTCTACAATGTCTTTTTATATCGTAGACATACTTAGAAGCGGCGAAAACGAAATTTACAAAAAATTATAAGGGTATGAATCCTAGCAAAATCACGACAACTGTTGGTTTAAATATTGGAAAAATTGATATCGCTGGTGTTCGTTTTAACTTCTGGGATCTTGGTGGACAAGAAGAACTAAGATCATTATGGGATAAAGTAAATAAATAAATAATGATAGTATTTCTGTATAAACATTTAAAGTACCACAAGTAATGAAAATATTTGGATCCAGTATAGTTTGTACTTTTGTGGTTTTTTATTGCAAATAAATGTACATTGAATAAATGTAATATATTATGCCATTTTAAAGTAGTTTGTAGTTGAAATTAATGTAAAAAATTTGTATTTATTATGTACAGTTATTTATATAGTTGAAGAAAAACAGAAGAATGATTTTGTTTATTATTGCACAAACCTATAATCATTTCTGAGCCAATGTCAAATCCACAATGACTTGTGCATGTACATAGTGATAGTGAGTTACTATGATAATGTATATATATAAATTTGGGAATAGAAGTAAGTTGAAATATCTTCAGAATAAATGGGAATATTTAAGTGAATATCATTTACAATATAAAGCACAAGAGTAGAAATGATACAGATGTCTGAATATTTTCCTTACTCATTGTACATAACAATTATTTGATGTTCACAGTATTATGCTGATTCACATGCAGTGATATATATAGTTGATTCATCGGATCGTGAAAAAATACCTGAATCTAAGTTAACATTTGGTAAAATATAATAAAAAGTGTTTTATATATGTCTATTTTGAAAGTTACATAAAAACATAATTTTATTTTATTGCAGATAGAGTTATATCATCTGAACACCTAATAGGTGTACCGCTTTTAGTTCTAGCAAATAAGCAAGATGTGCCTGACAGTATGGGCGTTAGAGAAGTAAAACCAATTTTTAATCAAAATGCACATTTGATTGGTAGAAGAGATTGCATGGTAATGCCTGTATCTGCATTACATGGGTATGTAAATCCTTAAATTACTTGTATTATAACAATATACATGTGAACTAATTTAATTTGGAACGTGTTTATACGTACATGATATGCACAATGTATAGTATGTACATATATGAGCACATTTTTATGTGCGTAGAATTCTGATTTTGTTACAGTTAAATATCAATTGAAACTCAAGTATAACAAAATATTTCAATTAATGAAGAACTAGAGTATCGTCTTAATCCCTTAACTTATAATATCGTGTAAGACTCGTGATCGGTTTTACGGGCCAAACATGAGAACGACGTGTCAGGCTCATCGTACGTTTGTCGGACAAACATCGTGTGTGGTTTGTTGTTCACCTTTTCCAAATGTGTTTCCTTATATATTTATAAAAATTGATTAGATTTTATGATTTTTGTAATAAAACTGCTATGTGTTCAAGCGCGTGTGAATGAAATAATTGCCGAGTATCGCTCACGCTGTTACGAATTAAATCATAAGTTAAGGGGTTAATTAAACAAATCTTACAAAATTATTTGTTTGTAGTATGTAATAATAAAAAAAGCTCACTATAATAGCTATATTAAACGTTTATAAACAAGTTGCATATGCTTCATAATATAGTGCCCTTTTTACGATTAAATAGTTAGTGAAAGTATTATTATTATTATATTCTATTGGATCAATTAAACTACTTTATATTATAAGCCTGTATAATAGATTAACCATTAACCCTCGGAAAGCGAATGGTTTGGGACTGACGTGGTAGACGAATGCAGGGTCATTTTGACCTGTAACAGAATTTCCATTGTATGTGGGTTTCAAGAAGGAATTGTGCGTAAAATTATATATACAATATTTTCAAGTTCATATGTTACATTTACATATAATTACAAAGAATACGATGACTGCTATAAATAAGTCAAAATGACCCCATATTCGTTGTACGAAGGTCAATAAAATTTTTTTTTTAAGTATAAGATGTCTTCTATGATGTATAAAATGATATAAGTCAAGTGATCAAATATAAAATGAAGAATACTATGTTGTAATAATTAACCAAACAGGCTATGAAGCATATGCAGCTTATTTGCAAGCATTGTTTTAAATATTGATTTGTGTGATGTAAAAGGGTTGGTATAGATGAAGGCATTCACTGGCTCGTAGACTGTGTCAAGAGAAACAGCGATGTTCGGCCACCTCGTAACCAGAATGACAGTTGTCTGTCTTAACATTACATTCCTATTTTCTTTTAAAACATAGCTTAATTTGTAAACAGTATTTTAATATATAAATTGTGTACATTTACATTAAAAACGACTACATTTACGATATCTGATATTGATGAAACATAAATACTGTAATATTGACAGTGCTTTTATTGTCTTTTAATTTTTTATGTAGTCCCACCTGAACTGTTGACATTTTCTATATTATAGTTATTAAAAAATATGTATTTCATTAATAAATAGCCCTAAATTTATTAATTTTTACTACTTGTTTTCTTAATTATACTTAAATTGCTTTAATTTTTTATCTCTTATTATTGGTTCAGAATAATTAATAGATTTTTCAATTTTGGTAACATAACTTGTCTACACTGCTGCTATCAAGGTAGTATCTGAGATAAGAGATAATGCCAACACCTTGCTTCATATTCTGTTATGTTGGTGATAAAGAGTCTACAAAACTGGTAGTACAGGTGTATACTGTATAATATATGGATTGTAATTTTAACTAAGTCTTTGTGCAGAGTTCCTTGTTTGTTAAGATTTAGTGCATCATGTGGCCTTATTATGAATCAGACGATTGGAGTATTCTACCACCGGAATTAAATAGAAGGTGATCATCCTAACAAGTTTAATCTTTTATGTATAAAAGAAGTTTAAATGTTCTAAGCGTAAATAAGTTGCATACAATCTAAATAAAATAGAATATTTTGTTTAAAATAATTATTTATATTTTTGATTATTATTTGCATTATAAATTATTTAATCTCAATTGAGAAACAATTCGTTTGAATTGATTGAAAAAATATTATGCATTGACACACATGAATGTGTAGTGGGCATTATATGTCAAGCTCTTATTATTTATAACAACAGTTGTGCAATGACACTGGTATCATGTGTGAATTGTAATACGTACTTCTACATTGTTTTATTTATAACAAGGGAATCATTGCATCAATGGATAGAATTACAAACAATGTACATATTATTATAATAGAGACAATACACATTCAAATGTGTATAAAAACAAGAAAAAAGAGCCTGGTCAAGGATTACTAATATTTTTAGTTTATTTCTAACTCAGTAAATCGTTTAATTGAAATAAATGTTATGAAAATTTTAATTTATATAAACATCCGAAATTTAATTATAACATTCAGTTCTACCAAAACAATTTGAAATTGCGTTTTAGAAACAAGCATCATTGTTATTCACTACGTTGAGTAAACGTATAAATAAAAAACCGGTAATACGGTTAGAAAGGAACGAAACAATTTGAATTCCATGCATAATAAGAATCTGTGAATCTATATATTCAGCGATATTTCTAATCATAAGAGACACGCACGATATAGAAATCGGTTGCGATAACATACACAGAAATATCTCAATAACAAACGGTCAAAATAATTGTCAACCCTACTTCACCACTTATAAGTCACGTACCGAAAGGAGTACTTCTTTCCTGTAGTAATACGTTATTCATTTGACATAAAGTTCAATATAAAATATATTTTTATCAGATATGTTACAAAATTCTGTAATTGTTAGATTTTTCCACATATGGCAAAAAGTTTGAATTATGTAGTTAGAACAATATTCGAACTCAGAAAAGCTTACAAGCTTTTACTAAAATTCAAATTCCAATGAGAATTTGAATATCTCGTGAATGTTCGAACTGTTACAAGCCTCCGGGGCTTTACAGTTCGCTATCAACGTTTTCTGTGTTCACATTATTGCTTGAATTTTGTTCAACTAATCGCTCGATGACTGCTGAGAAACAAGGACATCGATAGCCGACTATGACAATAGTTGATATGTTAATAGTGTTATCAGGGGAATGTCTAAAAAAATGGGATAGATGTTGTCAAAAGTCGAAACACCGCATTTTCTTTTGTAGGTCTCATATAGTGTCACGGAAATGCACTTTGTGCTCATTTATACTATTCTCTTTTACTTTGGAATAAGTTTTAATAATAAAGTGCTCAATATATAGCCACAAGCGTCGAACAGGTTGCGAAATACTTTTTATACATTTTACTTAGTATACGTAGAATATTAGTTAAAAATTATTTAGTCGTAGAGACTAAACGTCAGCTGATCGTAATTGTCGAGGATCTTTGTTCTCGAGTAAATAAAATGTAGTCGAAGAGATGAATTAGTTACCGCTAAAATTGCCCACGAACCTAGTACTGCGACCCGGTCATTGAATATTACAGCACAAGAAAGAGCTCTTATTTAGCTAGTAACTCTGAGATGTTTAGAGTGGGGTGGACACTATTTTGACCACCGGTTGTATGTATTATCAGGAGAAACAACGTCAGTGACAATGGGTAGCCATTTTGATTTTTGGTGCGCGAATCTGCGGACTATTAAGGAGAGTGACTGTCGCGCGATAGGCTGGACGACCGTGAACAGTTTAATTATGTCTATGGTTTTTTCCGGAATTGATTAGCCGTTGTTCCAAATTGAAGTTTTCTACGGTATGTATTGTTGATCGTTGAAATCAAGTTCGGAAGAAAACTACACGGGATGCAACGTGTATATATAAAACAATATACAAGCCGATATACCCAGGTGCAGGACAGACTATGCAAAAGTGAGTGAGGGCGCACGACTCGCGCCCTGGGAGGCGAGGCATTTCTCGCCGTATTTGTCATACGACTTGCGTGTAAAAGGTGGCCGACACGACGACGTTACGCACGACGCGCCTCTGTGCCGTCCTACACATACGTCGTAAACGTCGCTCGATTTCCGGACTCGAGTCGCCTGGAAAACGACGTCCTTGACTTGGTACTGTTTGACAGCTAGAAAACTAACCCTTGGTTTGATGCCCTTCAGTGCAAACGAATCTTTTATATAACCGGTTTACACATTTTACAATATGCTGCCGACTTGTGCGAGCCTGCGACCGCGACGCGTTTTTATAACACGTGAATTCGTGGTCGAGTGACAGTCAAAGACTAGGTAATATCCATTGCATGCAAACACTTTTTTTCACCGAGCGCTTAGATCTCGTCAGTGAAACCGGTTATTTTGTGTGACGTGAACAAAATAATTGTATATTAACACTGTCGCGGCCGAAAATTCTACGGAGCAGTTAAACCTGAGAGCCGTGTCCAGAAACTAAAATGTAAAGTTATCTTTATAACAATCGATGCAAATACGAAAAATCTGCTCGAAAATAGAACGCTATTAATCATTTGTGATTACAAAAGAATATTAAATGTATTTGTCACCCACTGGTCACAATTATCAGAATCATGAAGGAGCGTATCATGTTGTTGGCACCCACTTGTGAATCTGAAGATGTAGTAATACCATCATCGGCTCCCAGTGTGAGACTTGAAGAGACATAGCAATACATGGCCACAAAGGTGTTGAGTTCACGTTCTCCGTCTATTAAAAGAACTCATTAGATGATCATTGTTTTTCAGCTTTTTATTATATATTAGTTTTTCTTTTGTATCATCAGACTTAATGACTAATTTATAAAATTTCGCAATGTAACAATAATTTTGAAGCAAGGTTGTTTCTAATCTCAATTTTTTTATGATTGTACATTGGAATTCTGATTTATTTATTTGAAAGCATAATAATGATTGTCTCTATTCTTTGTGGGATTTATTTAGAACATAAACACATTAAGAAGTTACATACATCTGGCGCATTAAAGAATGTATTATATATTTACTTAAAAATAATGATGATGAAGCCAATGTCATAAGATATGCTTTAGGAGATACACTTTCATGGTATCAGATGTAGTTATTGTATTGTTTGTTTGACATGAAAAACAATGACAGATTCTGGACATAGATGACAAAATATATTCTTTTTAAAAGCTGATTCTCAAAATATTTATTTTTTATCACACAACAGCTGCTCAAAGTTGAAGCTATAATTTTTTACTGGTTTTTTCTTATTTATAAAAAGAGCTTAATAGGAATACTAAGAAACCTCTATGATAAGATTAACTAATCCAATTTAGAATTCATAGACAAAGTTTCAGCTTAATTGATTGGTAGTTTTAAAAATATTATACATCTGGATTTGGAACTCTCCTTTAAAAAAATCTATTTTTGGAAATTTTTTACCTGCAAATTAGCCAAAACACAGTAAGTTTTATTTTAAGGATTTTTAATATAAAATCTTGTAGGAAAAAGTTTAGCAGTATATAGTTTGGAAGGAAATTATTTTTGAAAACTTGAATTTTGCCTCCATCTGGATGTATGTAGCCCCTTAATAAAATTTCTTAATCATGTGATCATCACTTGAATACTTTGGTAATTTTTACGAAATGGAGATCATTAACTTAGTTCTGCCGACATTGTGTTATGATGATAGTTAGTTTTTAAGATTCCTCAAAGTAACTTTTTACAATGTTCTGTAATACTACTTGACCTTTTCCCAATAGGAAGCAAACGGTTCGTGTTCCATATTCATCTACATTTCATTCGTGTTACCGAAGCTCATCATATACGTTTGAAAGCTACACTGTGAAACCATGAATGCTTCAGAACATGGGTAATATATTATCCTCAATATTATAAAAACGTTTAATAATATATCAAATAGTAGCAGTAACCATTATTATTGTTTTAAGCATAATAATATAAAAGACATTTATCAACTTCATACACCATGTGCTAGTTAATGTTTTTATATTTTAATAAAAAAAAATACAGTTTGTTTACATTACAATGAAAAATTTGACTAGTTCTTTATGTGAATGTAATGATAATATAGTTAATTCAAGTAAATAAGAAATAACAATTGGAATCAAATCACAGGTGTCATTGCACAACAAAGAAAATGGTATGTAAATGCTTTGTGTGTATAAAATAGCATGGGTGTGTACGTTACAGGTTTAACCCAGCCTTTAACATGGCCTCCATAAAACAAGCTTTTAATGAGGCAGTAGAAAGAGGTAAGTGTAATGTTTTTGAAATAGTAAATATTTTTATCTACTCCTATATTTCATGTTCCTGCTTGCTATTTTATGTTGATATTTACATATATTTTTTTTGTATATTAAACATTACAATTATTTTGTACACATAATTATTATTTATCATCATTATTAAATTTTATAATTTATATTATAAAAAACCTATTTCTATACATATATTTTTTAATTATTGTTTAAAATATACATTATTAACGGTCGTTTCTCCATTGAAAAATTATATTTAATGTTACTCAAATTAATTCCCCTCATTTTCATTAACTTTGCATATTTCTTTGGAAAAAGTTGAATTCTATATTGATATGGTAAAAGAAAATAAAATCAGGATATCGACTTAAATACGTATAGTCCTTACTTTTGTATATACCTAATATTACTTCATTTTATACTAGTACTTATGATTTTCGTGAAAATCAGTTCCATTGTGATCATCGTCCTTAGCTTGAGCATTTAACTCATTAAATTCTACTAACACTAAAATTGATAACATATGTGTAATTTAAAAGTCTCAACAGTTAGAATGCCTGCACCAACACGACTGAGGGATCTCATCAGACAAATAAGGGCTGCCCGCACTGCAGCAGAAGAGAGAACAGTTGTTAACAAAGAATGTGCATATATCCGTTCAACGTTTAGAGAAGAAGACAGTGTATGGAGATGCCGCAATATTGCAAAACTCTTGTACATTCACATGCTTGGGTTTGTGTCTAATTTCTTGTGTACCACATCGGTGTATTTATTGGAATAGTATTAATTAGTTTATGTCGTTAAAATTTAAATCTTGATTAATTTTTCAGGTATCCGGCACATTTCGGCCAATTAGAATGTTTGAAACTGATTGCATCCCCGAGGTTTACGGACAAACGAATTGGTTATTTAGGTGCAATGTTACTGTTAGATGAACGACAGGATGTTCATCTATTAATTACTAATTGCTTAAAAAAGTGACGTTTTTATAACATTACGTAAATACTATTTAACCTTAAATACATTCAGAAGTAGTAACGACAAACATCTTTTTTACAGTGATTTAAATAGTTCAACACAGTTCGTTATCGGTTTAGCATTATGTACTTTGGGTGCAATTGCATCACCGGAAATGGCGAGAGATTTAGCGTCTGAAGTTGAAAGGCTGATGAAATCACCGAATGCGTATATTCGAAAGAAAGCAGCACTCTGTGCATTTAGAATCATTAGACGTGTACCAGAATTGATGGAAATGTTCTTACCCGCTACACGCAGCTTAATCACAGAGAAAAATCATGGGGTGTTAATTACTGGTGTTACGCTTATCACAGAAATGTGTGAGAACAGTGTGGATACATTAAACCATTTCAAAAAGGTAAGCTTAATATATTTTAATAACCAATGAGAATATTAGAATCGGTATATCAAATAGTAGAATATTTAGATGTCTTGAACATTATTGAAAGATTTTAAGTCATTGCATACGAAAAGATTGTATATTTTCTTTTTAACACAATTTAAGTTCTTTGATGTTGCCATTCCTAGTCTACTAGTCCTATAGTTGCAGTCTAGATTGTAGTAGCTTTAATACTTACAAGGGCATTGAATTTAGTAGTATTAGTGAAAGTTTTTTCCTTACTGGATAAACCAAGCCTAAAACAGTATAACAAATGACAGAAAGGAATGTAGTCTATAATTTTCTATAAATATAATTAAGATCAATAATATGAGAAAAGTAAAAAATTATGTATTAGTTTTCATGAATCATTGTGTGCTTGATACTAATACAAAAGTGATATTTTAACATATACGTGAAATATTTGACTGAAAATTTTAACTGCTTACTTAATAATTACGAACAATAATTATACACATAATTTCCTAATCGTTTATTTTCTGCTCCCGATAATACTCATAATATAAGTATGGTTTTGTCTTCCATAGGAATGCGGCCATCGAGAGGTAACATGCATACAAGCATCCTTTATACTTTTGCATGTTTGCTTATTATAGACTTCATTCTTTTCTTTTATTTTATACAATTTCTTTATTATGACCATACAATTGCTCGTATTAATTGCTTCGTTACAGTTTGTCAACATGTTATAAAGAATACGAAAATACGTGCATGTATTTTAAAAATATAGTCCGTGAAGATTTCTTTTGAATAGTCTGACTTGATTATCATTTTCATATTGCATATTTTTATTAACATAATTTTATCATTATATATTTTATATAAAATAATTATATTCTGATACTTATTTTAATCCTAGATATTTAACACAGTATCAGTACTGATTAAATTTTGAAGACGCAAATTATATGGAAGCAGTATTTTTTTTGTTTTAATCATTATTAGTTATTTACATTTTAAAAACTATATGTTTATTGATAATATTGTAAATTAAATAACATTCAGTATTTCAGACAGTTATGTTATAGTCATGTACATTTTTATAAACTGCATGAAATGCAAAAATAGTTACACAATAAAGTATCATTTATATTAGAACTTTTGTTGGATATATTCAAACTGCAGTGTATCGTTGTAACAACACTACAGTTATACTATTATTGAATGAAGTAATATATTGATAAAGTACTGTGCAGTTTTTTAATGTAGTTTTTTTATCTATATTATTTGTAGTGATATCTACTATTGTCTATATGTTTAACTTTGCAAAGTATAGTTTTCCAAAGTTTTCTTCTAGTTAATTCTATTACAAATTTTTCTCGATGCAATGTTACTTTCCAAACCAACTGCTACTACTGACTTTATTTTTTTTTTATTTAGTAGCTTATACTTTTTCTTCAAAGTGGAATTATATTTCCTCTCCTTATATTTAGTATTAAACGTTGCTTTTTTATAAGTCCGGAAGATACTTTGTCAGTATAATGTGTATGCAATGTCATTATGGTAAACTGTTTTCTCGTTATATGTTTTCAGATTTCTTCGTTTAACTTTTACGTGTAAATTAATACGAATAATGAATTTTATACACTGAAATTAATACTATTCTTTCAGATTGTGCCAAATCTTGTAAGAATCCTCAAGAACTTAATCCTAGCTGGATACTCACCGGAACATGATGTGTCAGGAGTGTCTGATCCTTTCCTTCAAGTGAAAATACTACGTCTCCTGCGAATTTTGGGACGCAATGATATTGACGCATCGGAAGCAATGAACGATATACTTGCGCAAGTTGCAACAAACACGGAGACTAGCAAAAATGTTGGAAACACGATACTGTACGAAACTGTATTATCCATTATGGACATAAAGTCCGAAAGTGGGCTTAGAGTACTGGCAGTAAATATTTTAGGCCGATTTTTGTTAAATAATGATAAGAACATACGATACGTTGCTTTGAATACATTATTAAAAACAGTTTATGTCGACACAAGTGCAGTGCAGAGACATCGTTCAACGATTCTGGTAATTTTCTTATGTTGTTTATGTATTCTTTAATACAATTATTTTACAGTTTAATATAATGATTTATATATTTCATTTATTTATTCTACAGGAATGTTTAAAAGATCCAGATGTATCGATCAGAAGGCGAGCAATGGAACTCAGTTTTGCGCTCGTAAATACAAACAATATTAGGAATATGATGAAGGAATTATTACTATTTTTGGAACGTGCTGATCCAGAATTTAAAGCTCAGTGCAGTAGTAATATAGTAATGTCTGCAGAGAGATTCGCACCAAACAAACGTTGGCACCTCGAAACCTTGTTTAAAGTTCTCGTCGCTGTATGTAATTTGCTTTATCTTCTTATATTGTTTTCTTCATTGTGTGTATTAGACGTATGCAATAGTAATACAGTGATCTCTTGATGAATGCGACACGAGGAACGGCGTTAGTCCCACCACAGAGGGGGGGGGGAGTCCCATTTTCTAATCAATCAAAACAGAGTAAACAGAAGCTAAGCTGAGGCTCGGCTTCGTGCCAACAACAAATTTATGAGGGGCTGAAATCGTTTCCGCTTTGCCACGAATGCTCCGAAGTGGAGCCCAGTACTTCGCACTCATTGAGACATTACTGTAGCTGTTGAATTCAAGTTGTGCTGTGGTTGTAGAGCAATTCAACGTTTAACAAAAAAATAGAAAAAAGTCAAAGAAATCAAAGGAAACTACTCAGAGTAAAAATGCTGCAACAATTGCTCAATATCGATAAAGATTTTAGATGAAGAAATGGCCATTGCTTTTACATACATCTCACACATCTATAACGTTCATATTTTGACTAATTATTGCTTTTCAGGCTGGTAATTATGTCAGAGATGATGTAGTAGCATGTACTATACAGTTGATTTCGGAAACACAAGCACAGCAAGGTTACGCGGTTAGTGCATTATGGAAAGCATTAGAGAAAGATACATCTGACAAACAACCGTTGGCTCAAGTAGCAACGTGGTGCATCGGTGAATATGGTGATTTGTTACTGTACGGGCCACCATCAGATGATGTAGATGCTCCCGTCAATGTATGTTGTACATGTACATTTTTGTATTCGATATTTTTTTTTCCAACTTTCTTTCATCTTTGAACGTACTTGGATACTATCACATACGAGATATAAGAATAGACCTAACATGCAATGTAATTTCCTGTCTTATGCTTCGGGGGCGTCAGAAGCCCCCGTACCATTTCAGTATTCCATTCCTTGCTAGCGAAACCAGGACAATAATGTATGTATGTATGTATGTATTGCTATATGCAGTCACGTATAAAAACTTTTATGTAGAGTGTGCTCGAACCAGTCCCATAAGATGTTAGGTCTATTCTTATATCTCGTCTTTGATACTATACAAAATGGGCCAGAACGGGTAGTAAACCGGGTATGAGATTATTCGATATGCAAAAATCCTTTCCAGTTGTACTATCCATCTTGGTTTTCCCTGTGTATACATCTCTTTTTATACTTTCCGAATTTTTAATAAAACATAAATGAAATTGCGACATTCAAACATGTTATTTTTATCATTTACTTTTATTATTATTAGATAATAGAAGACGAAGTCATTGATGTCTATCAGAGGTTACTATGGAGTCCACAAAATACAGTTGTTACAAAACAATATACTCTATTGTCTCTCACAAAACTGAGCACTAGATTCCAAAAGGGAAATGAGTAAGTAATACTGAGAAGTTAATTGGTTACTTTTTTTCTGTTACTGTATTATATGGTGTATCTTTTTCTCATACTTATAAGTATAAAATACTTGTTCCTTGTTGTAGGAAAATTCGTCAAATAATTGACACGTTTGGAAGTAATTTACATATCGAGTTGCAGCAAAGAGGCACTGAATTCTCACAGTTGTTCAGAAAATACGATCATTTACGTCCTGCATTGCTTGAAAGAATGCCTCCGATGGAAACAGCAAGACCGCAGGCTAACGGAATTATTGGTATGGTTAACGGTGAACCAGAACCAGAAGAAGAGAAATCAACAGTTTTGGAAGCGAGTACACCACCATCTGATTCAGTAAGCCCACAGCAATTATTTTGTAATGTAAATCAAGTAATCTATTAGGAATGAATGGTTACTAGTATGTGTTCATTGTTAAATAACAAAACGAGGACACTGTAAAAAGGTTACGAATATAAATCGTCGATATAAAAATTATACAACCATTTTAAGTAAATTTTATAAAATTGATAATACAACCGCTGCGGTGAACAATAATGATCTATTGGACTTACTCGGTAGTTTAGATTTAAGTGCGCCTACATCTACATCTACATCTACATCTACACTGCCTCAGGCACAAACGCCAACGCAAGTATTCAGTCCTACCAACACGGGCAACTTCTTAGTCGATGGTTTACTTAATTCATCGTCAACTCAAAATGGTTTGTGTACTCTTATAAAATATACCTGTAAACCAGGTACCTCACTTAAGTGTCACCAGGAAATTTTCGGACGTTCCTTGAATTTTATGCAAAAGTGTTAGACAAAAATTGAAGTATATTTAAATGTGTATAACTTTAGGAAATCAAAGTTTCTTCATCTGCATTTTTCCGGAAATATGGATGTTACTTTTAATATTTAAAAAGTGCTGTAGTTTCATTTAAAAAAAACAGAAAGTAACATCCATGTCTGGGAAGAAAATTTCATTTATGAAAGTTATGCACACTTAAATATAGTTAAACTTTTGTTTAACAGAATTTTTTTGTAAAATCTTGGAAAATGCTTACATTACGTGACACACCCTGAAACATTTATAATTTTCATTTCTTATGTTTAAATTACTTTTAGATTTTTAATTTGTATTATATTTTGTAATTTCAGATGCAGCTACCATGATTGTTTTGGATAAAGCAGGACTTAAAATAACTTTCAGATTAGAAAGACCGCCAGATATCGCTGATCTATTAATTATAAACATGTCAGCTCAGAATTCTGGAAGTGCTATACTGACTGATTTTCTGTTTCAAGCGGCAGTTCCTAAGGTAAGATTCGTAAAACGTTTATATTCCTATGCATTATATTAACAATGTAATTAATTGTTTTCATATTCAGACATTCCAACTACAAATGTTGTCTCCGTCAAGCACAGTCATTTCTCCTTCTGGGCAAGTCACACAAGTATTGAAAATTACGAATATCAACAAAGTATGTTTTTCTAATGATATCTTATTTTTAACTATTAGGTGTGTGTGTCCAAAAATAATCCCTATTTTTTTTAGCAAAGATTGAATTTTCCATCGATAAAATAAACTAAAATAATAATATCAACTTAAATGAAGTGGCCGTTACTTTTGCGTATAGACATAGAAATATGTATACACTGCGCGTCAGGCTGGTCCGGCGTCCCAACTTTAAAAAGAGACAGGTTACTTTCAGAAGACTATCTCTTTCTAATATAGCTAAGTCAGCCAGTGAAAACCGAGACCCCAGAACCTCACACCTCACCACTTAGATTTAAAAAGAGATGCCAAGTCCTCCGAAAGCTATCTACCTCTTTCTAAATTTGTGACCCCCGTTTTCGGGGTGACGCATAGTTTATATTTCTATGTTTATGCGTATACACAATAATTCAACAATAATTTTGCTGAATTCATTTGTCTGTATGAACTGAATTGCTCTGTACTTATTACGCATGTATGCTTTTTTTTTTTAATTCAGGTACCTCTAAGAATGAGATTACGTATCTCATACACTGGACCAGCAGGTCCAGTTTTGGAACAAGCAGAAGTAAATACTTTTCCTCCATTGGCAACACAGTGACAAAATATACTGAGGAAGACAATTGTACATATGCCTGTCTAAATAAGTAATTGAGTCTGAAATAGACTGAAACCCAATTTCATCCTTTCATCGGGTGAAAGGAAGAATTGATAGAAGGACATACTTGACAAAAAAAAAAACTTTTCGATTGATTAAACTGATAATTCATTATACATGGTACCAATGTAATAAGGTATTAAATTATACTGAATTTTGTTTTTCTTTTTTACAATATACATAAAAGTATTTTTCATCTGCTCACGGACTATAATCTTAAATTTTCAGAAAATGTACACTTTTCCTCATATTTCGTATATACAATTTTTGTAAATACGTTTTGATGAGAAAAGTATTTTAATATTTTTATTTTATGCTTTAGATAGCATTACAAAACACTTTTTGAATTCTTTTTTTTTTTAAAGAAAATTGTGCAATATGTAATTGTTCTCCGAGTTTTTTTTTTTAATCATTGTTCATAAATTGGTTGCTTGCGTCGTTCATTAAATAAATAGATTTTTAATTAACTTAAATGACGCTTCCTGAGCAGATGCTATTGATATTCGTTTTGAAGTCTTTCAAAAGTAGTAGAATTTATTGCTAGAATGGGATGATTAAATTTCAAAAGAAAGAAAGGAATGTAAAATTTCTCTGTACTATGCTGCATGTATGTGAGACGTGTAAATATTTTCTCTAATCGAATATAGAAAGATAGAACAATACTATTACATGCAACATTATTATTTGATCTGTTGAGTTTGTAATTTTACGGTTTCTGATTTAGTGTATAATTTTCCTTATAAAATAGTTCATAACAAAAGATATGACAAATGACAACAGAACATATTAAAATCATTCAGAAAATATTGATAAAACGTGTTTGTCCGTAAAAATGTTGCTGCCCAATTATCAACGACAAACACGCAAATCTTGCTGTAATAATTGATCTTTTCTACCTATATTTGTAAGTAATAAATGAACGCGAATGCCTTGTAAATACTTAAATAATTGCAGTAACATAGGAGTAAATTAAATTCTTACTGTGAGGCGCGTAAAATGGGGTTCTTTACTTTATGTGTTCGTGATACGATTATCATGTCAATAATTAATAGAAAAGCTTCCTTCACACACACACAACGTTTTTTTATTTAAAAGGGAGCTAACACATAAATGCATATACATGTAGCGTGTACGTTTGCTATACCCCATATTTACGTCTGTTATGAGTGATGTTTATACAGTTTTGAATGTATTTGGAGTATATGATATCATTGGAGGGCTGAATTCTGATTGTTGTATTATTTTTACAGTCAGATTCGTTCACTAGATAACTTAAAATTATATTAAACAAAGTTTTGATCTTTCATAATTCTCGTTAACATTTATACATATGTTTGAGAAATATTGCTTTTCAAAGTACATCACCTTTATTATCAATCTACTTTTGAAAATAAATCTCGAGAATTGTTACTTCTAAAAATACGTAAAACCACTCTAACGTAAATTTTATATCGAATTATTGAAAATAATCCTTTGGTTTAAACGTTGCTTTCAAAATTATTGAAGAAATATTTCGATTCGTTATTGTTGACGAGTAACATAATTTAGGAAAGAAACACCCATTAACATTTTCCGTGTAGTAGTAAGAGTTGAAATGAAAATTACGACACAGAAAAGTATTTTTACATTCCTTTTTATTATAAAACTTCTTGAGATCTGTACAATGTAAGATTGAGTTCGAAGAAGCTTACGATTGCTTCTCTTACAGTTTAACGAACATAGAAATTGTACGAATGAATTGAACTGCTTTCGAAAAAAAATTCATATTTTTTTATGCATGTTATTTCACTTTTTCTGTGAAGCAAGTACTCGACAAAGAGCACGCGTCTAAATCATATGATAGATGCGCAAGAATGAAGGTGAGATGCATAAAGATTAATAATAGTGATCTTGCAAGAATTTTTTTTCCAAGATTTTATGTAAATGAAGTTATGATACACAGTTGTACTTAATTGTATTTAGTTTACTTTAATATAATATTATATGAACATATAGTTTTTTAAGCACTACTAGTTCTAACACGATAAAAGAAATTTAGTATTTTGCCCGATTAACTAAAAGAAAAGAATTTTGTTTTATTATGTTTCTTCTGAATTTCTCTTGAAATCGTAAATATCATAATATACCAGTAAGTATATTATCAGTATAATAATATGCATTTTAGCTCCGTCCCTTATATGTTGTGCGCTATGAATGCGGAGGTGTATAATTCTAGAACAGGTGGGTGCGTTTCTGAGTGGCCTTGTCCTAAAGTCTGTGACACAGTGTCAGCCCTTCAGTGGGGTGTACTCTGCCTACTTGTTCTCAATATTATATTAGTTTTATAAATATAAATATATATATATATATAAATATAAAATTATATTATATATATATATAAATCAATTTGGAAGATATTGAATAATGATACAAATACTGTATATATACTTTCTAGAATCAAGGTGTGAAAATAAAATGTATTTTTATTCCACTAATCGTTTAGAATATTCATCATTAATCACTTCTGTTGTCATCGATATTAGACAGTTTTTATTAATGTGTACATTGCTATAAAAAAAAGTAATGCTTATAGTAAACAAAAAAATCTAAATACAGATATTTTATGTGTGTATTGTTGTTATTATAAATTTTCCATACATTAATTACATATTACGTACATTATAATCACTCCTATTATATTTGTACTTTATACACAGAATTCACTGTTGTTGCTGCTTTTGAGCCTCGATTGCGTTGTTACAACCAACTTGATTAAATAATCTATCTTTAATTATTTGTGCCATCAAACCGTGAATAATTTCAATAGTCGTTTTACAACTATCTTTCGTGGCTTTAATTAGTTTTTCTACTGAACATCGATCATGAGGATCCGTTCCACCTAAAATAAATCCTCTTCCAAGTGCAACTTCGGACTGTTCTAACTTGTCTGATAAATCAAATATCTGTCCCGTAGTATAGTCTGCATTTGTTAATAGGCTAGAAGAACTCAATGTATTCACCCAATATTTATTCCATAAGGAGTCTAGTAGACGTCTATCTAATGATGATTTAAAATAAGATACTTCTAACGAATAATATTGTTTGCAGTGAACACCAAAATCTTCAATTTTATTTAATGGAATTGTTTGATATTCTGATGGTTCTTCATTTGCTGGTTTATATCCCTGTAAAAAGATCAGATGGTTCATTAAATTTACTCATTTTCTTTAAACCTTCAATATATTGTAAGCTATACATTGAATATGAATTACCTTTGGAAAAGTTCTAAATGCACCTAAGCAAACTTTACCGGCAGATATTGTTCTCACAGGATCGATAACGATAGCAACAAAAGGCTCTTGGAAATTTTGATTTAGCATTTGCGTAGACACGTCAATACCTGATAACCAACAACCATACCCAGGGTGACTATGATACCATCCAATCGCATTTTCTTGTCTTCCAACCTTAACGAATAATAGAATATAAATTTAATTATAGAAAACCAATAGTATAAGCTTCAGAATACAGCCATAACAAAAATTTGTTACAAGGTACTCTAAAATTAATAGTTCTAATTTTAAATACATATAATATTTTTTGTCTAATTATTATACATTCGTATAAGTACAAATCAAAATGTAATGTTTTCAATACTTCTTTCAAATATAAGAAGTACCTGTTTAGCTGCTTCTACATATGCTGACATATATTCATAAGCCTGTGCTTGAGCATTAACTCTTGTTTCCGTGCCTTCCACAGGTAACGCAAAGGAATCCATAACAATCATTGTATTTGCTGCTACTTTTCCAAGAAGAAGACCCATAACTTCTAAAGTTCCCCCAGAACGAGCATGCATTACCATTTTTAACAGTGCCAATGCAGAAATTTTTATGTCCTTAAAGAAGTGAGGGCTGAAATATTGATAAGAATATTTTTAGAAAACAAAATTATCAAATTGGTGGAAAAAAAATTCGAATTACCATCAATTACTGTATTTATTATAAATATATGTCATGCAATATACATAAAAAATAGACTATCGGAATGATTCATACTAATTAACTTATTAATTTACATTAGAACAAACTAATTTAAACTAATATATAAGATTACATAAAGTTTTTAAGTTTATTATAGGCATATCTCTGCTATGAAAATTGATTTATTGTAAAGTATTATGAATTGGTTAGTTGAAACTGTTCTCACTAGTACTATTCAAAAATGTTACTGTCCCAATAACTTAATAAAATATAACTAAAATATGAATATACTGAAATAAAAAATAATATTAACGCATTAATGAAAACAAATACATACTCCTTTTCCCATGGCTTTGCAGCCAATATGTCCTGTTGCTCCTTACGATCATATCTATAGATCTCGTCAACAGTACTTATTGTTTCAATATTATTTGACATTTCCCATGTTTTTTGCGCAACATTATTTTGCTCTGAAGAAGTACTTGCCATGTTGACAATCTACTGCCAAAACTGAGATTCTTGGCTAAACAAAAGGATAAGAATAAGGAATGTTAAACGTTAAAGGAATAATTTTTATATATTTATCATCAGCACACAACACATCTCAATAATGATACATAAAGTTATTTGTATTGTTTTAAAGAATACAATTTTTACCAGAATTTGTTTATATAAAAATATTATGGTAATAAATAATTATAAGAGAATAAGTGTAGTAATATGTAAGTTTCACGTTAATTATACTCAGGGGTAAAAATTTCAGCAATAAAATTTCGAAACAATAATGGAACGTCAAATCACTGATTAAACTTGATTTTAGGTATAATTCAAAATGATGAATTTATTCTGTTGTCACAGTGTAAAATATTATGTACAATGTTTAAAATGTATTCTATAAGTTCTTACCAACAAACCTATAACGCCGAAATTAAATAAATTTCAAAATCATACTCCAATTACAACTCTTTGGTCATTACCAGGTTGTAAAGTTTTATTTGGTTTTGTCATAGACATATATAATAGACTGCGCGTCTTATGGTAGGATTGGTAGGGAGTAGGGATGAAGCGAGACCGAAGGACAGAAGTTGCTCTGGAGTAACTACCCTCTTGCTCGCACATCGCAGTGGGAGGGGGAAGGCAACTGGAGGGGCGATGAGGAGAAGAAATGCTGCACACATGTAATAGAGTTAATAGATTGTCAGTCGCTGCTTTTTGCGTTGCTTGGATTGTTAGTGCCATCTATCAGATGTATCATTCTTTTTTAAAATTATACAAACACCGAAGAATAGTGGCGCGGAATATTCGTATTTCTTAAGAATATTTACCTTAAAAACTTGCTCCCAATTTGTTCCCTCGAAATCTAAAATTGCTCCCATCGCAACTATTATATGTAATGAGATATTTGCAAATAAAAAATTTCATTATAAATAAAATAAAATTACTTTATAAGTCATGTTTATCATCTATTGGTATACTTTTGAAAATTATAATTTTATTAATGTGTTTATATATTCCAAAGTGTAGAAATTACTTCTAGAATTGTCTAAATCCACTTAAGGTTTTTCTTAGGATGAAACATAGTCTTCAAAAAAATAAGTTAAGGAGTGTGCTTTTATTAAATGCTTCATGTTTGTACATAGTAAAATGCAGTCTTTTTTACTGAGACCTAAGAGGGCTACAATTACAATAAATAATAGCTTATAAAATTATAAATAGTTAATAATCCTCTTCATCGTATCCATATCCAAAATCGTTTTCTTCTTCAGATCCATGCTGTCCAAGCATCTGTCCAACTGTCATTTCTGTAGGATCAACATCAGCATCCACTTCAACTTCAGGTTCAGCATCCTCATCAATGTAGTCATCAGTTTCATCTAATTTGTAAAAACAGTTTCATTATTTCTATGCTGTTTAATAAAAATAATGTAATATTACTTTGGAAAAAAGACGAATTTCAGACGATTCGAACCATTTAAAGTATAAACTTGCAATATATTTATACAATTAAATTCATAACACATAAAAATCGGAAAATTACCCATATCACAGGTATCTATTCTTGACACCACAGGTTCTACTGTACTATCAGCTTTCACCTCAATTGAAATTCGTGCTTCTTCTTTCTTCATTACTTGTAGTTGTGGTTTAATTGAACGGGATCTTCTTGTTGATGTTGTAGGTGATGTATCTTCTGATTTCAGGGGACTATAGACAGTAGGCCTGCAACAAGATATAATTAATTGTCTAATTGTCGATTAAATAAGAACACATATGTACATGTAGTACTAATACTATATTTAAAAATGATAATTATTATTATTAGATGTATTGTACTAACGTTTTACTGGAAGTTGCAATATTATCCACATCTTGTTTAGATTGAACATGTTTTTCAGTTTTTTGTTGCTCCTTGCTTGGTGCGTTTACAGAAACACTTAGGCTTTTCAATACTTCATAATTGATTTTAGACGAGATTTTCTTTTCTTGTAACATTTTTTCGATTGCTTCTCCTGTTGAAATAAACAGACTCTTTGTAAAATGCCATAATAAAAATGTCCTATAAAATTGAAATCACCATTACTACCTGCAGTATTTGCCGGTGCCTGACTTTTATTACGTTTAGTGGTTCTCCGTCGTTTCTTTTCCGGTTTACCCTCTTCTTTCTCTTTCTGTCGTTTTTCTTCTTTTTCTTTCTGTAGATTTAGATATTCTGCGTTCACTTTATTCCATAAATTATGTTTAAACTGTGCTTCCTTTTCCGACATGATGTAAGTATCTAATTCTTCATCGTCCAAATCAGCAACGTCAATCTCACCAGAATTCTAAAACCAGAAATATTTATAAATAATATGAAATAAAACGGTACAGGTGCGCATGCGATTGTTGAAAATTTATATTCAATGTCCTGTAGTGTTCCTTAAGGAAAGGGGCCACTAAAGTGTTCCCCAGATGAAACATATAACACTACAGCTGCTCATTACATCTTATTTCAAGTTACAGTAAAAAATACTGTAAATTAATACTATGATGATTAGTGGTTGTAGAAATTTTAAGCAAAACCTTAGGATGCACAAACCATGTCATAATATGTACAGTAAGTCTTCGTATAACGCGGTATTCCTATAATGCGAACTAAAAATTATTCTACTACCCTCGTATGATGCGATTAAAAACTTTGAGTTATTCTGTATATATACTGAAAATCTGTACGTTTTTATTGTTCTAAAAAGTCCCATATAACATGAAATTCGTGTAACAAGGAACGTATCTTCCGCGTTATAGGGATCTCCTATTAGTAACTATATTTTGATTGTGGAAAGGTGAAGTTTTTTCTCCCACAATAATCATTACTAGATGCAATACTCACAGATTCGAACGGTGTATTCCCTTGATCCTTTCCTTCACTTTCTCTATCATTTGTCGATATTATGGAAGCAATATTTGGACCTTCAAATAATTGTATTCGTTTCATACATAATTGTACTATTTATTGTATACATTATATTATAATAGATACAGTTAATATATAACAATTATAATTTAATTATAAACATTTTATCCCTTACCTAGACCCGTAATCAAACGATTATTGCCGTTATGCTCAGAATCATGAATTTCGATATCAGGATCGTCGACGTCATCTTCAACGTAATGTTTAATTATATCTAAATTACTTTCTTGCACAAATCGCTCTGTGTCTTCTTTTTCTATAGAATCGACTAAAAATGAAAATATTTTTAACGTCAAGTGATTTATACAAATGGTAATACACAGGATAAAAAATGTTAAATATTTTCTAAGAAATAAGATACATATTTACGTTGTTTAAAAGTTTAATACAATTCTTACGAAATTAATTTTTATTATCCATTTTCCACCAAATACAATGACTTCTATTAATTACCGTTATTCCGCTTTCTTGGTCTTCCTACTTTACGGTCCTCCAATTGCTTATCAATCTCAGCTTGTAACTCATTTATTTCTGTATCTATATTTTCTAACTGTAAAAAAACATTGGATTCACGCTTCCACTTCATGATAAATTCCTTTCGCGTAATATTTCAATTTTAATACGATATAGTCTATCTACGAAAAAATATGATCTACATAATACCCTTTGCAATCTTTCCCTGTCCTTTTTCCGTGCAGCTTTGAAAGCCGGCGGATCTTGTTCCTCCTCCAAGTCGACCGTCATGAATTCTTCGAGGGTCAACGCGCTCGAGGGTGTATCGCCGAATTCTATAAGCCTGAAAATTAAACAAACAGATACAAGTTACAATAGCATATCGTGAATATATCGAGGAAATCTTCATTAGACATTATTCACCTTTTTCGTAACGTGGTTTCATGCACCTTCACGATTTTTATGATATCCGCGGGGGACCTGTTGAACTCGTGTAACCGAGCGGCCATTAGCAACGCTATTTTGCAGGGATAAAAAAATATTTATACATGTGATTCAACTCTCATTTCATATACTTAAAACTGTGAGCTAATTTTCACCCATTCAATTGAAAAAAAAATTAAAACGTATGCTAATACAATCATTTCGAAAGAAACTATTTACAAGATAAAATGTTAGTTCGATTAAACGGCAAAATCGAAACAAATTAATATTATAAGATACTTTTTCATACCAGCTCCACATAGGCCGGATGGTTTACGTCCGCTGTGAATGCTATCCCTTTTCATCCGTTGTACAACACGTATAGCAGTCATAGATACTTCGTGAGATTTATCGCCAAACTCTAATTTATTTGCAAATCGCATGATATACAAACATGGATCTGCAATACATAAGAAATTATACCTAAATCTAAATATATCCAAATATAAATCCTTGGATTTCTTGGATTCACACAAAAACTAAAAGTGCAGAATGTCCAGTAAATCGTAGTACATACACAGAAGCGACATATGTTTTCATGTGCAAAAACAAATCGACAATGTAGAATAAAATCGTTCCATATGCAGTTTAGTTTACACGAGAATCAAACGGAAAAATTAATCGGTCATGAATATATTATACACATGTTTTCACATACAACCCAGGTAACACATAACGCCTGAAAGTGCTATCTGGGAATTTAGAAGGTTAATTATTTTTATATTTGTAGACAAATATTACTTGAAAAATGAGGATCTTTTTAATGAATGGCATACTGAAGATGATCTGAACAGGAAAACGATTGCTGTGCTTAATCTTATGTTTATTACAATCAAGGAAATGTATTGTGAAGAAAATGGAAAGTCAATTGAAGAAAAAGTTCGTGTATTTTGCAGTAATTTATTCATAAAATGGAAACATTCTCATCGGAAACTGAGAAAATTTAAAGCAAGGTACGGTAAATGGTTGGAACAACATTTAATTATTGAGAAATACGCAAATGAAGAGCCATATATATATTACTTATATAAATTACACTGAATAACTATAATATATTGCGTTGAAAAAAGTCGATAATTAATAATAAAAAAAGTCTTATTAATTTTGGCCATGAAAAGCGAGTTTCCAGACCATATGTGCATAGTATTGAATCCGCCATCTTGAATTTTGAATTTTTGGTGTCAGATTGGTTATCAGAGACCTCAAAAACCCTTGATTACAAACTTTTAGAAAGTTTCAATGATATGTTTACTTTTGGCCAATAAAAACGCGTTTTCGGACCACTGTGCGCTGGACCGATTCTTGTTTTTTATATTATTTACGTACTAAAAGGCACCTTTAGATCTTTTTAAATGAAACATCTAATATTTCTTCTATGGAAATCAAAAGAACACTAAATATTGGGTAAAATAATATTAACATTTACGACGAAAGTTCTATTGTATCTATAACATCTACTTAATGATTTTATAAATGACAAATAAGCTTTCTGTATCGTACTTCTATTGCAAATATCGCAATGAATATCCACATTAAATTTTCATTAAAAAAAATCAAGGTACTCCTGAAAACGTAATTTGTGAGCAATGTAGAAAAAATGATTACTGTAATGCATATCATTCTTGGTATCTTCTAACTTTTGCTTCACACATTTCTTCATACAACGTATGATTTTTGTGTTATTTCAAGGCGTCAAGTTAAATGAATCACCGTGTATAACAGACACTGTTTGTGAGAAGCATCACACTGCGCAGATCGTGGTATGCCTTTTTGAGGACCACCCAATATATGAACGCGCGTGCCCTAAGTTATCGTCTATCGACCGACGTGCAAAACTATCTAACCAGCGCCCGTCTGACATGGCGCCCATGTAACTGAAATCCAAAATTATTTGGTGTCGCAATCGAAGAAAAAACGTTCAGCAAGTTTAAATAGTGACGATGGCGATGTCGAATTTATACTCGAAAATATCGACGAAACCGATGAAACGCTTCCAGGATAACGTCACGGTCAAGCAGACTAATCCGTGGTTAAATGGTGAGACACTTATTTATTACTGATATAAATAAACATATAATACACAACTTAACGCTATTTACACATTTACTGAATCGAATTATTTGCAATTAAAATAGAGAGAAAGAAGATACATTTATTTTTTATCTATGGATTTAATGATATTTATATATAGGATTACTTCTATTACCGTGTTTATGAACAATGTTTAACGATAACAAAAGGAGAATTATTTTTTCGTTATTTCGTGTCATGTTTTATTGTATCTTACTACTCGTACACTACTTTACATTACGAATACATTGCCTTTGAATGGTGTTAAAATCACCGGTGTTGTTACGTCGAATTCGTGAACAGTAGAGGAAGTCGCACATGACCGAACAGTAGAATGCACTATTTATATACATAAATAGTTTTAATTTGTTTGATGTTAGAAAAGATTTTAACGGTCGTATTTAACATTAATATCAAACATTTCTTAGGAATTTTTATTCAAGATTTATAATTTCTTTAATAGAATTACAGTCATTCGTTCAATTGATAAGTAGCGGTCAAAGCAAGTTTAACATTCAGGTTTTTATACATTGTATTAAAGTGTAATTATCGTTCTGGTGTATATAGTATTTTCTGAAGAACTCAGTTTTTCTTTGCAAGAAATAGTTATTTAAGAGTTGCATTTAAACCTGGGTTTTATTAAATAATTTTATATATTCCTTTTCATTATAAATAAATAATACACGTATTTTAATGTTTTTTATATACGTACTTAATATTCGTATTATGCTATAAAATGTATACATATATTTACGATTATATAGACTTACAAAATTCACTTTCTTTCTATAAGATTAAACTTGTTTTTCTTAGCATGTTCATGTTTCAGTGATCACCCCCTATAGGTGTTAAAAAAATGTCATTAGACGTTATGTATATTTTAATTTATAATTGAAGACACACTGTGATAGTAGAATGTCAAACGAAAAGTATACCTTAAAGTTATGTTACATTAATATTCAAAGGATATTTATTAAATAAATAATAAGTATTATGGCATTTTATGTCTATATAGAATACATAAATTATTATTCCTTTTAATATCATGCAGAATTTTAAAGTTGTGGATACGTTAACCCTAAGTGAACCCATTTAACAATCGTATACGTACATATGTATGCATTTATTTGGCGTACGTATCACGTGCATACGAAACGCCTACGAAACTGCACGAATAAAAGCGGAACAAACCGAACTCAGTATCATTGCGAGTTGCGAGGACTCGCGATGGATGAGAGGGTGTTTACTTAAGATGTTACGTATACATATACACGCGTCGTTTGATTTTTGTGTTTGTATGAATCGGAAATAAGAGGGGGTCTCCAAAGCTTCAGTGATAGCGATCTTTTACTATGTCATAACAGAACGAGAGGATTCTATTCAAAACAATTGTTAAAACTAAGGAATAATGTACACTAACGGTAAAACTTTTGATGATTTTATGGTGTGCATTCATTTTGCTAGGAATATCATAAAAAATATTATTAAACTCACATCGTCTTAAAGCGTTGACAAATGAAATGAAATGTATATAAATAAAATATTGAAATGGTTTTAGAAAAAAGTATTCCACTAAAAACTATTAAAACTTATTAAGACTAATAATATGTAATAACATATTATTGTCTTGTATAACCTCTTTCATTAGCACTGAAGAGAATGTTATTTTTCTTAATATTATCATCATAGTAGTAACTTTAGAAAGTCAGTATTTTACCTGAATAAACAGACAAGTAATACAATTATATGAAAAGTAAATTTTAAATATATAACTGAATAGCAATATTCTATATAAACTAATTTATTTTTATGACTACTGCTGCATTTTATTTGAAACTATACATGTTAGTTGTGAAATATTTATACTATCTTCTTTTTAATATAATCTTTGAATAATGATAAAAAAAATATATATTTTGTAGTAATCCTGAAATTGTGTTAAATAGTAGTATATTTAACATTCTTTAAAATAATATACATGCAGTTGTATATCATTATAAATTCGTATGTAGTATTCGTATGTTATTTTGAATTATTTGAATGAATAACTAAAGGAAATGGAAAAAGACTGACAAATACAATATTTTGATGTTATATGTGTTTTAGCGGAATCACCAATTACTGCATCAGATTCACCACCAACAGTAAGCCCACTTTCTTCTTCCATCGTACTTCAACGCGAGGGAACAATAAAGCAACCTTTCAGTGCACCTGCATCACCTCTGTCTTCCTTGTCATCCCCCATAACTCAACTAAATTTATCATCACCTGAAGACTGTACACAAGATCCTAATTGGCAAGCAACAAAACCCACAGTACGCGAACGGAATGCTGCCATGTTTAATAATCATCTGATGGCTGATATTATATTTATTGTTGGCAGTCCAGGTAATTAACTGTACATTTTCAAATAATCTTGTTGTTTATAGTTGAATAACATTCTGTATTATTAATAGGTCATACGCAAACTATACCAGCACACAAGTATGTGTTAGCTACTGGTAGTTCTGTATTCTATGCCATGTTTTATGGTGGACTAGCAGAGAATAAAAGAGATATAGAAGTACCAGATGTAGAGCCAGCTGCCTTTCTTGCACTGTTAAGGTAAACACTCTTTACTTTTATGAACTTGTTACTTTGAATTGTTCAAACATTATTTAATTATTCTTTTTTACAGGTACATGTACTGCGATGAAGTACAATTAGAAGCTGATACTGTGTTAGCAACGCTCTATGTTGCTAAAAAATACATAGTCCCTCACCTAGCCAGGGCATGTGTTAATTACTTAGAAACAAGCTTAACAGCAAAGAATGCGTGTTTACTTTTGAGTCAGTCTCGTTTATTCGAAGAACCAGACCTTATGCAGCGTTGCTGGGAAGTAATAGACGCTCAAGTAAGTTTAAATCAAAAAATGTTGAAGTCTTTTACTTTAAACGATAACTTAGATATGACATTAAGAAGTAAATCGAGTTTATCTTCCGATGGCACTGATAATACTGTAAGTTTCTATTCTTGCGGAGATATTTGCCTGAACAAAAGACAAAAAGATTCTCCATATCGGTTTACTCATAGAACTGTAAAAACAAATGATAGTAACTATGGACATATGAAGAATAGATTGTCCATAGTACCACACTGCCTCAGTTTATCTGAAAATGATTGTTGCTCTACATTTGGTAACAAAAGGTTGTCATTTTCTTTATTTCGAACTCGAAGTGAACCTTACTTTGCAGACAATAAATTAGAAATTGAAGTGACACAGAATATAACTTATGAAGATAATTTTGTAGAAGAATATGAACATAGTAAAAATGATTATGATAATTTTCAAAGAATATCACATAGTGTTAATGCAATGACGAGCTAAATAAAAATTAAAAACTATTTAAAGGACAGTGTCATGTATCATTTAAAATTACATTTGGAAAATTATTTTGTACCTAATAATAATAATATTGCCTCTTACGTCATTTATGTAAATTATAAGAACTAATTAATATCACATTAAAAAATGTTACAAATAGATTGCTTGATAAGAGTTGTAAAGATACATTTTGTTTACTTTTGAAAAAAATATTTCAACTTTTATTATACATTAGGTCATAATATTTTACTTGGTTATACTTTGTTATATTTTCTTATATGTTAAGTCTACATGTTTCCCGTTTAATTAAAAAACATAAAGTTATACAATTTCTTATTATATTTAATATTATATCATTTCATAAAAAATGGAAATAACAGAGTGTATGGTGAATATTTTCGTTAAATTATTTAATCATGTATAGAGTCATAATTTACTACTAGTATTGACATATAATTTATTTGTATTCAGCTTCGAGATACATGAATTGTAATCAAATTTAATACATTTTTCAGAAGCATTAAAATCAATTTTTATATAACACAAGCATTGATATTTTTAATATATATGTGTGAACTATGTTTCTCACATTTTTTTCTACCTTTAAACGATGTCTGTATCATATAATAAAGTTTTTTTGTAGAAAATATAAAAATCTTCAGCTTAATAAGAGTTTTGATTGGATCATTTGACTTATATTTCGTTCTACATTATTTATTTTTTTACGATTCATGCATAGTAATTATATTTTCATGTGCATCTGATATGTAACAAATATCACGGAAAGAAATCAAAAGTACATTTTTTCTTGTTACAGAAGATTATGAATATTTTACGTTAATAGAACAAAGATAAATTATGTAAATATAAGTTTTTAAAAATTCAGTCCTTTTTGGATACAATTTTTTGTTATGTTCCTTGTTAATCATATGGTAACTAACTATAAAGTTAGAAATCATACATGGAATTTAAAGTTTATATTATTTGTACATAAAACTTAATATTATTTAGGCAGAAATGGCACTAAGGTCAGATGGCTTTGTGGATATCGATATACACACTCTTGAATCAGTACTCTCTCGAGAAACATTAAATTGTAAAGAAATTCATATATGGGATGCTGCATTGCGATGGGCTACTGCCGAATGCATTAGGCAAGAATTTGAGCCCACAGCAGCAAATCAAAGACGATTACTAGGTAAATATCACAATAGATGTTTTCATATTATAAACATTAGCATATTACCACTTTAATTCTCATTTTAGGATCTGCTCTGTATTTAATTAGACTTCCTGCCATGAATTTGGAAGAATTTGCCAATAGTGCTGCACAAACTGGAATCCTAACACAACAAGAGACAATCGATGTCTTTCTGCATTTTACTGCTAGCAATAAACCACAACTTTGTTTTCCTATCAAACCTCGACAGGGATTAAAGACTCAGGTAAATTTTCGGATTTGAAGAAACAAATGTTTATCCAATCATATTAACAGTTAGTCGTCTCTATTAGCTAACGATAATTACGAATTATTCGTTTATGCTAGGTACGAATAAAATATCGTAATCTTTTATTTGCAGGTGTGCCACAGGTTTCAGTCGTGTGCATACAGATCAAACCAATGGCGCTACAGAGGTCGGTGTGATTCGATTCAGTTTAGCGTTGACAAAAGGATTTTTGTTGTTGGTTTCGGGCTATATGGAAGCTCGTCTGGTGCCGCGGATTATAATGTTAGAATTGAACTAAAAAGACTGGGCTGTGTTTTGTCCGAGAATAGCACAAAATTTTTCTCCGATGGTTCGAGTAGTACGTTTCACGTGTATTTTGAAAATCCAATTCAAATCGAGCCAGAATGCTTTTATACAGCTAGCGTAATATTAGATGGAGGGGAGTTAAGTTATTTCGGTCAAGAGGGCATGTCGGAAATAACAGTTAGTAATGTAAACTTTCAATTTCAATGCAGTTCAGAAAGTACGAATGGTACAGGTGTGCAGGGAGGACAAATACCCGAGTTAATTTTCTACGGACCGCCAGTAGATGACTGACGGAAATATATTACAGAGATAATGGTTTAATTAAGAGATTCTACAACCATGTACCTTGAAATTGGTCAAGGTTTTATACAATTATTGTTTTAGGCACTATTATTAAGTATATAACAAAAGAATTGTGTAATAGGTGCACTCTAAGACTTTAAAATGTCACGTATTGTTACACTGAATAGCTTGTACAGAAAAATAATACTGATAATTTTTTCCGTAAATCGTAGCTTTAACACTTTCCACATTTTATTCATTTATTTTTTAAGGTTCACTTTTATAAAAAAGGATGAGTGACAATTTTCTACTCACTAAAGATGAAGCAAATGTAATATTATAATTATAATTTACTTTAATTCAGAAGCCAATACTAAATTCTCGATTTAACAAAACAATTCAATACGTATATATAAATAATTTATCAAAAATATATTTTCGTAAAAGAGACTTATGAAAATATGTAAATGTAGAATAGCTGTTTTTCTTTTATACTGCTATGTCTTCGATTAGAATTTTATGAAGCAATATTAATACCAGTCATTTATTTTTTAAGAATTCACTGGTGATATTATTTTGGTCGCAAAATATGGAAATTAAATTCTTTATTTGAAATGAAACCAAAGCTTCCAAATTTTTTGAAAAGAGTGCATCTACCGCTATCTTCAGTACAGTCAACTGTTCTTGCAATTTTATTTGAAAGAGAAATTCTTTTCATATGATTTGGGTAGTGGAAAAATCATTTGTAAATAAGAAAAAAGCAGAGTATATACAAACGCCTGTTAGTTATAAGAAGGCAGAAATGAAAAAGTGATCTTTAAATTAATAGAGAATGATTCAGAAAGTTAAAAAGTGCTATTTAAAACAATATTTACCATCTTTAAAATTATTGTTGAATAGTAGTATAAAGAGATGAGTACAGGTTAATTAACTTTTTAAAAATGCATCACAAGTTATTAATGTTTAATTACCAAATATTAATAATATTTCCAGTCACTATTTGTTAAATTTAAGTTTTAAAAAAGTCTTAAGTGAATGATGTATATTGTTATTTTATTCGGTAGAATATATTGTTTTGCCACCACAAATGATACCGGTTTAATACAGAATTTATATGTTTAAGATATATTACAATTGGAACTGCCTATGTAAAGCAACATTCGTTTTTTGTACGTTATGTTACTTTACAATTTTTTTTTACTACTTCAATATGAATGTATTATAAAAAACAAGTATTTTACTTTTATTAGTTTCTTGAAATCTCAGTATAAATATTGAAACGTTTTTTTCTTTTTAAACGAATGGTGATGCGAAATAACTGAAGAAAGGAAAAGGAACTTTCTAGTTTAGATCGCTAGACGGAACAGAATTTTTGTGTTCATCACAAATATTGCAACAATATTTCATATGAATATCCTCTCGATCATCTCAATAATCATTTTGATCGTATTTATATGATTTTATAGTTTATCATAGCTCATGTAAACAGAAAGAAAAAAACACTAGTTGAATTTTCAAAGATAAGTGTATGTACATACAATACATATTAGTGAATTAAGACTATCACTCGTTATATTTTTATTTAGTATTGAGCGTTATATTATATTAAGTAAGGCCACAGAATTTGGCACCAAAGTTTATTTTGCAGGATAGCCAATAGCATTTACAAAGTACAATGAACTATGATACCAATAATAATACAATGTACAAAATAATGCCTTCCTACTGTTAGTATATCCAACCAGTGTAAACAGGAAAAAAGGACACAAAATTTACATTGATACTTTAAAGCAATTTTCGAAATATACATTGAACCATTTCAATTTCATTCAGAGGTGTACATTAATCACTATTAATAAACAATAATCTTCGTTGTATGTCTTGCATTATTATGATTGGAAAATTATATAATGGAAATTACAGTAGAATATTTGAATCTGTATGGTGTATAAGAAACAAAAACTGTGCTTGGAGGTTACCGTAAAAGCAATAAATAAATATAAGAATCTCATTTATAAATAGGAATTCTACATGATATTTTTATGCATCAAGCTAAGATTCATAAAACAATTTAATTACTAACAGTGTAATATCAAGGAGGAAGTTAGACTGTAAAATGATATTGTATATTATTACTGATAAATTGAAGGCATGAACATTATATTTATCATTTAGAACAATGTAAAACATAAATATTTTAGTGATTATTCAATTTCATTTTGTTTTCCGATTGAAATTGTAACTATTAAACGTCTATAAATTGCAGTATGAATAGTAGCATATATACAAATTGATAGTAGCGTTTAATATATTACTAACTTATTAACCTTTTTTTATGTTTCACTTCACCAAAAATAATAAATGTAGTGATAATTATTTGTGATGAAAATTACTTGTAAATTGAGGATGTTTATGTTTAAAGAATAAAACATGACAAAATGAATGTTCATTAACTAAATTTCTTTATTCCTGGTGCCATAATAATGAAATTCTTATAATTATCTGTCTTGTAAATGAATTATTAATCAAAAAATATTTTTAATTTATAAGAGCTTTATCATGTTTTGAAATTTGTACAATCAATATAATCACACAAGTAGAATTTGATCATTTACTTTACTGCAATATAACTCATGTTTATTTAACAACAAGAAATAAGTAAAAACAGGACGCAAAATATTTACGTATCATGCAAATATAACATGCAAAATGCTCACCTGCCGATGGTATGTTGATACAGAGAGCTTGCGTAAACCGTAGATACGTGCGTCCCAATTCGTATACACAAATTTGTAGAACATCACTGATGTCAATAAGCATATCTAATTATGTAGTTAAGTGTTTACTTTACTTTCAGACTTAATTGTATTCCACATTAAACCAAATGTGAGAAGAATAGTAAAAAGAACAAATTAAAAAATTGTAATAAAGAATCTAAATCTGTATTTCTTTTTTTATTAACTTGCAAAAGTATAAAGGATACGTGCAGTGCCTTCAGTACGACATGTAATATAAACACAAGCTGCATGATTATGAGCTTGCTTCCTTCCCCGAGTTAAATGACGATTTAATGCCATTTTATAAAAATTCATTGATGTATCAATGCAATGCTGGTTCAAGCTAGTAACAAATGAAAAAGAATATTGTTTTCAGTAAAGTCACTCAAGAAAAATCAATTTTATTTGATACATTAAGAAAAGATTATTACCGTAATTGCATACATAAATGAGTAATTCCTTTTCTTGCATTTTGTAAAGTTATTCCCCTTGATTCTTTTCCATTCACATGATACGCTATAAAACAAAAATTTTATCGCTTCATTTTTTTATTTCTTACAAACATATATTCTTTTTTAAAATTATATACCTGCTCCGAAACCTGTAGCTCCACCAGTACTATCGTTAGCAACAAACTGACCAAGCACCATCATATTTCCAGATGGTGTTTCCTTGAATGCAGTCTCGCTGACGATAAGTTGATCTTCCAACACAAAACCACATTCTGTACATACTGCATCTCCTCTAGCTGGATCTGTTTCAATATCCGTAGACCCACAATTCCGGCATTTGCTTCCAGACATCTATTAAATAAAAGAAAATCTTATAAATTAAAATGTTAGAAAAGAGTAATTGATTTCGCACTAGTATTTCATATAAAATTATACAACACAAAACTGAATACTCTATCCCTCTGTATTCATCAATTAATAAAATTAATTTTGTAATTGAAACTTTTTGAATTCAATAGAGGAATAATTGTGTTTATTATTGTCGTAGTATAATAACATCAAACTGAACCATTATCAAAATTACCTTTATAATATAATTTTTTACGTTTAGTGGTAAGTACACTATTTACTAACGTTATTACGACGGCGCACTAAAACTTATTAGAATAGACATATTCAATATTTATCATGTGACAGCCAGCCAATACTTTATTATATCTCGTTTTAGACAAAATTACGTAGAATCAATACAAATGTCGGTACAATTATTATTAGATACAACTGTTGTGATAGGTTAGATAGCCACACATTGTAGCAAACATGACATATTGGTTAGGAATGAGAATCTCCTAAGATTTATACAAGTATAGTCTATTGTATAGACCGAGTACTGAACAGTACTGAGTACTGAATAGACTGTCCGACGCACTGGTAAAAGTGGTTTATTTTGTATATCAGCCAGCTTGCTATTCCTTCCAACATTTTTTATCTCTTTTGTTCTGTCAAAAATGAGGATGAGAAAAAAATATCCGATTACAGTAATTACACGATATTGCACGATATGAGCGATATGAACTTCTTTGTTTGCGCGCGAACTTTGTGAAAAATCTGAAAACTAGAAAGTTAAATTATTTAGATTGAGATTACTTGTATTAAAGTTTTATAGCAAATTTTGAAAATCTCAGTTCTTGGTTTTTAACTATGACACATTATCAAAAAAATTACTTCTTATTTCCATTGAATTTTTAGAAAAAGCGGGTCAGATCCTAATTTCATTGTACATAGTAACAATCTGTGTTTTCGTTTTTAATTTGTTTTATTTTCATAATGTGTTCTACATATTTGCAACTTTATTGATTGCTCATCGTTTTGCAGAGTACCAATTTTGTATTGCACTAAACTTGACTAAACTAATGAATTATTTGTGGAATACATAAAATAAGTACGATTTCGTGTAATAAACATTCTTTATTTATTAATAAAATACAGCAAATGTGATACTAAATTATATATAACATGTAGAACTAAAATTAAATAACATATATGGGCTGCGTTCAGCGGACTTAACCGTTGCGAACTCCAGCGAACCACCGAACTCATCAGTGATTAGGGTGATCAGTGATCAGTCCTATGAGTCCTATTACTCCTATTGTCCTATTTTCCTGAATGACATTTAGGATAGTGTGATACATTTGTAGTAGACACCGTAGACACCCTCTAATCAGAGTCAATCAGAGTCATAAAATCCCGTCCCCGATTTTGATTGGTGCCGCCATTTTTAGGCAAAAGTGTTATAAATGGCGGTATAGTATAACCATAGACATAGAAATATATAGGGTGAATAGAAATTGACAGGTTTACTATTGTTTACTATCATGGCAGTTAAACGAAAAAGCAGGCGGCTTGCCTCTCGTCTCTAGCAGCGAGCAATTCCAAACCCAATTCACCCTGTAGACTGCACGTCAGGCTAGGCGGCTTCTCAGCATTAGAAAGAGACGGGTTACTTTCGGAGGACTTGCTAAATCCAGACCATCCAGACGCCTAGAACCTCATCCCCCACTACTTAGATTTAAAAAGAGATGTCTATGTAGTCCTCCGAAATCTATCTACCTCTTTCTAAACTTGGGACGCCCGTTTCAGGGAGATGCGTAGTCTGTATCTGATATGGCGAGTAATTACTCGAACAAGAAAGTTGTTTTGACTATGCAACAACGGCTGGACATTCTGCAAGATTTAAAGACACAACCTGTTTCAACGATTGCTACAAAATATCGTGTACACCCGATAACAATTCAACGGATAAAAAAAAACGCTGTAAGCATTAGTGTATTTGCAGAAAAGAGTAATCAACAGAGGAAACGGCGAAGACTTAAAAGACCAGTATACGAAGAATTAGAGCACCGTTTGCTAGCATGGTTTACACAAAAAAGAAGACTTGGTGATACTCTATCAGACACTATACTTTTAGAGAAAGCTGCTGAAATAAAAGAGAATATCGCATCATGTTCACGTTCCAAAGTGAGCAAAGGTTGGCTTGCAAAATTTAAAAAGCGTAACAACATACGTATGAACCCATTACGTAAATATCGATCAAAATCTATAGAAGAAGAAGACACAGAATTTGTACCTGTGTCTGAGGAAGCAGAAAGGAAAATTATCATCAAGGAGGAAAAGTTTCATGAAGAAGTATGCAAAGAAGAAAAAAGTAATGACAGTAAAAATCCAGAGCATCATGAACGACAAGAAGAAATACTTGATTGGACAGAGCAGGATGGCAATAATATGAAGAAATTAAAATATTTATTGGAAAAATTAACACATCGTAGTGCAACAGCACCAACTCACATTCAGATGCTGGTAACAGGTTTAAAACGATATTTTTTCATTGACAAGAATGAGTAAAAAGTAAAGATGAGAAAATTCAGAACACATGGGAGTTATGATAAATGTATTTAAACTTCACCTTACTCAAGATAAGTACTTACATGTACAGTGGTAAATTTATAATGTATTTGAATATTAGTTACTGATATAATTTATGTATGTTATTTGTTATTTAGTGCGTTTCTACAGTTGAAGGACCCACCATGGATAAAAATCAATTATAGGGCACTCCACGCGAAATAGGACACTTTTTAAGTAACAATTCAGATTTTGTTAACATTTGACTATGTTGTAGTCTTTAGTGATATATAAACGTATCTTAAAAGGATTTTTGAAAATTTGTTAAATTGTTGGCTCTACAGCTGCTTGAAATATAGTGTCAACCGTTTTTCAATAAGTTATAACTGTTGAAGTAACAAACCGATCAAAATGAGCTTTGTGGGTGCTTATAGTGGAGACATAAGAGTACCTGATAATAATTATTTCAGTTAAAAAAAATCTTTTTTATCCATTTATTTTGCAATTGATTGATGCAAAAATTTGATAGATGAGGATATAGTACATTTGTCCTCTTTATGGACAAATTTTTTAAAATATGGAGACTTTAAAATTGGCCGTATGAAATTAATTGAAGTTAACGCTGCGTTGAATTACATAGACTCGATCACCAAAGCCGTGCGGTACTAAGCTAGCCGGTACGGCTCGGCCAGTCGAGCCAATGTGTTTCGACGTAGCGTTAACTTCAGTTAATTTTCATATGGACATTTTTAAAGTCTACATATTTTTTAAAATATGTCCATAACCTACTATTATAACATTGCATTTCTTTAAAAGAATTGCAAAATAAATGGTTAAATAATATTTTTTTTAACTGAAATAGTTTTTATTAGGTACTGTTATATCTCCACTATAAGCACCCACAAAGCTCATTTTGATCGGTTTGTTAGTTCAACAGTTATGATTTCTTGGAAAAAGATTAGCACTATATTTCAAACAGCTGTAGAATCAACAATTTAAAAAATTTTCAAAAATCCTTCGAGATACGGTTATATATCACTAAAGACAACATCACATATTCAAGTGTCAACAAAATCCGAAATGTTACTCCAAAAAGTGTCGGATTTCGCGTGGAATGCCCCTTACGTAAATTTTATTTAAAATTTTTTAGTAAAATATGTTTTTGTATAGGTTACAAATATGTTATAATTATATACATTATATTATTGTAAATATTGTACATATATGTATATATATATTATACTACTTCACACTATCCTGATGTATAACATACTAGGAATATTATCTATACATACTACCCAGTCAGCCAAGCAGACATATGCAAAGCCAAATTTTGTCCAATGCCTGTTATAATGTTACGTATTCAACATGGCTACAAGTTTGATGCAAGAGCTGCTATCAACAACTTTCACGGAGATTGACAGCAGATTAGCAGCAAGTCTTGCAATACTAAAAATTTCTATTACAATTTTACTTCGGTTTTTATGCTTTTAGGATATTTTATGCAAAGGACGAAACGTTGTAACCTAACATCGAAAATAAATAATTTTATTGAATTATGTTATAGAATCAGATATGAATCAATTCTATTTACTCTATCAACTCTATTTACTTGTCCAGGATATTGTGATGACTGGACGATAGTATACTTGCAACATGCTTGTGTAATATGTATTAACTGCTAGAGGTTCTTGATTAGACAGTTGTTGCATCGTTGCATCCTCGAGTGCCAGTGTCAAAAGTGTAGTGAATACGGTGAATACGTGTGGACTACAAGAAAAGATTGTTTTCCGAACCTGAACCTAAATTTGTTATTAAGACAGATACAAATTATTATAAATAATTATTATTCTGGTCCTACAATGAAGAAACGTTATATACGTACATAATCAAAAGGTATTGATGTAATTTCATTAATCAGAAGAGTTATCAATTTATTGTTTTCATTTTGCAAACATAATGAGATTAACTAATTTTCAAGTCTATGTGCGATATAATACAATTTATACGAAAAACAAGAGGAAAGATAGTTATTAAATATGTAAGAAAAAATAATACAAATTTATACATCCATATTAGACAAATTATTCATTGCTTTTTATTTTTATTTATTTTATATATAAAATTAACTCAAAACATTTTATTATTTATTACTTTTATCTCTTTCGTGATTGATTTTCATACTTTTTTGTTCTGCATGCAGATCATTGTATTTATATAGTGAGTGACATTGTTTTCATATCATGCATATAACACGTACATTTTATATTTTTAAATGAGAGTTTTGGCAAACTTAAAATTTTTATTATATTTTTAATACATAATGAATTAAAAATGTTTTTTAAATATCAGTTGTCTGAATTATTCTTGTAGGAATGACAATAAATACGAATGTTTAGAGGTTATATGTGTGATACACAGTGATTGACGTTTTAATTTATTACCAGACATGGCTTTGGACACTTTACATTTAACATTATTGATCCATGTGGTTCAGTTAAACCTAAATAGGGTCTGGGTTGGGTAATAAATACAAATATATAACTTCAATCACTAAATATATACCACAGATATAACCTATAAAACATACGTATTTGTTGTCATTCCTATACAAATAAAATAATGTTTCTATCGTCTGATAACAACATACATCGTTTCGCATTCAACGTAATATTCGCATAAATTTTCGCCATTTCTTTAGTCAGTAACAAAATTTGTTTGTCAACATCATGAGCTTCAGTTAATTTTTATACCTAAATATAAAGGTATTGTATAATTGCAAATATCGTCTTATTTCAACAAATTTGCTAAACGTAAAATAATGAACTTTATTTTAAAAGCTTTATTAGGCATTTGTACAAAGAAAAGCATAAGTTTGATGCTGTACTAATAATGTGACTATAATCTTATAAAAGTGTATTAAAATTTTTCATTCATTTGAATTCTACATTTATTATATTATTTAGTTTTGATTCCATATTAAAATATCTCTTTATTTAGTATGTATACTATTATAAAAAGTGTTATTTTCTTTTCATTATATTAAATGATAATCTTTACATCATATAAAAAACATAAATTAAGTTTACCTTCCTTAGATGACATATCAAATACAGTATAAGCCAACGTGCAGTTAGTAATGTAGAATAGTAAACAATTTGGGTAAACCAAAATAACGTAGTAGAAAATAATAATACAGATACAAGTTCCATTAATAAAAATTAGTGCGAATTTTATTTTGAATATTTTTTGTCATTGTAATATTATTTCAGTTATATAGATCGTAAATATTTTTCTTATATACAAAAATAAAATTTTTAAACGATAAATAATAAACAAATATTCATTGATGAAGTATTATTGAAAAAACTATATAAGTACAAAATTAAGGCTATGTTTTAACTGATTAAAATTGTAAATGTATTTCCGTTTATATTATTTTTTATAAAAATTAATAGTATATGCTGTTGCTTTTTTTTGTATAATTTGTTCGAAATATTTAAAAAATAATTGTGTTTTAAAAAAATTCTGTAGTATGCAATAAAATTTTTTCTTCAAGAAAATAGTAATAAAACATTGTGTTGTAGTCTAAGTCTAGTGTAACACTATTGTAGACACAGAATTTTTCTTCCAACAGTAAAAAAACAACGAAGTCTAGCAATCCTTTTAGCTGAACAATGTCGCAATCAGAGAATACGTCACAATCAGTGATCGGAAAATTAGCCAACGTAATGAACGACGAGGCTTACTATTATGTTGGCGTACGAGGCAGCCCTTTCGCGACTGAATGTTCTGTCTTTGGTTTAAATTCGGATGAAATTTTGGCCCTTAGCAAACGGTTTCCAGACTCTGGTGCAAAAATGCTCAACTGCGTCGGAGTCACCGGTTAATTGACAATTTTTCATAATTTCTTTTAATTATCTACATCTTAATATTCATTTGTGAATTTTACTTTTCATTATCGTATGTGAGAGAAAACATTATTTGTCACATTTCAATTTTGTTTAATAATTTAAAATGATATATCTTGGTTGACTGCAGATTATGGTTTATGGAGGAGTCAGTAGAACAGAAAAGAAGAACCTGAGGTGTTCATTCAGGATCAGTATTAAAAGTTTTATCTTCTAAAAACTTTTAATGAATTTTAAGTAGACAAAATTTATCTATACAGTTCGGTTCGTGTAAAAATGAGAGAAGAAACACAAGGTTATACGTTTCTTGTGTTCTAAATATAGGTAAAACAAACGAAATGATGGTATGAACTAAAACTTTTTTTGACTATAATTTCCATTCTACCGTCTATATTTTCGATATACCAATATTGAGATCATATTGCAATTACAATAAAATGACGATATTAAATGCAAATTATGATCGATTTGATGTGGAATAACGCTCTCACATTTTAACGAACTGTGTAGTGAGCATCGGTGGTTATGGCAACCCTTGTTAAGCAAAATAATGAAAAAGAACAAACAATGGATCTCTGGTTCTTCCTATTTTTTGTCTAGACGTATGAAATAAAACCATCATCTGCGCTCGGCCCAACAATACTGTTTGTATATAGAATAATAACATAAAATATAGAGTGTTCTGTAACTGATAATTTGTATCTTCCAAAAGGGAGTGGTTCAGATAACTTATAATCAAACCTAAAAATGATTAAACATATGTGTGTTTATTTAGTACTATATCATATGCTATAAACAATAAGTATTACCTTAAGTAGAAGCTAGAAGCAATAGTCTAGAGTCTAGACGTATATGTGAGCCGAATTTTGAACATCGATTTAATAAAAAACAAAGCTACGTATCGACAAATATTATTGTACCATTCTGATTTATTTTTACACGTCGAATAGTCTATTCGATTACATTATCAGCTACAGGACGCCTTGTGTACAAGTTAACCGAAAAAGTTATTTTACTAAGCATAATAAATAAAACAGTAAATTACATACGATAATGCAATATATGTTTCATGAGTGTAACAAACATACTTTTCTATATATATATTATAATATATACTATCTTCAAGAACGAAACTTTTTCAGGACCAGCATTTTCTGTCATTAACGCCTTGGCAGAGTTAGGATATCGGGTTATCTGTAGCACGGGAAAAGATGAGGTACTCTGGACGATGCAAAGAGAACTATAGAACAACGGTCGTTCTAAAGTTTGAAATCTATCAGCGAGACAGTGCTACTTATGAGTTTAAAATATGCGTGCGAAATCGTTTGCTACGAACTGAGCATTAAATTATTTAACGATGTAGCAAAAAGTCATCTACCGAATCCATGAATGTACAAATTGGTGTGTTTATATGCTTCGTACTGACTTCCAGTCGACATTTTTAACTTCCTGTAGAGATACATACAGTCTAGCCGACCGAAACTGAATTCACGACGGGCATGCGTAAGAAGTCACGTGACCAAACTGAAAGGTGCTGTAGAATTCCGTGTGATTCCATGCCATTGATGGTCGTAATGACAAACGGCGAATAGTGTTGTATAGTAATTTAAATTCAATACTATTTAATAATACTTTATAATACCATTGAATAAAAAATGCGCCATGGAATTATACCACTAATCGTAGACTCGGTGGGCTAGACTGTATCCTTTTATTGGACAAATGTATATAAATAGATTTACAACATTCTTACCGATTTTTGTAAATTCGTAAAAAACTGCATTTAACTTAAATTGCATTCCTTTTGTACTGTATTATACTTAAATCTTTATCAATTATGTCTGTTTCTATTTTGTAATTTTGATGTGAATTGGAGTATGTCTATGGTGGTATTTAATTTTCATAGCAATTAATAACAGACAATACAATAATGATAAAACTGTACAGGTACAATTTTTTCAAGTTTTTCTTGCATATTCTATTATTAGTTATCAATCTTTTCTATGTATAATGTTGCATAGAATCACATATTATGCGTATAACAACATTTTACTTACAGAAATTGCAAGTATAAATCGGATTTCTTGTATTAAAACAATTCTGAAACATTGTATGTGCAGTTGCTTTTTCTGAATATGGAAAATGTCATTTTCCGTATTGCTCTTAGTTTTTTTTAGTATATACTAGTAATTTTTATTTTAATATAATATACAGAATCATAAGTATTGTTAATATTACAAATATAATTAAGGAATTTATATTGCAGCTAGTATTTGTTGAAACAATTTTTAAAACAATGAGACACAGTATCTGTTAGTGCAGCATCATGCTTTGCCAATAAGGAACTATCTGTAACTACTTGAAAGCTCTAGTCTAGTTATTATAAAATAAACACAATATTATGTAAAGGTCGATTTCATGTGTTATACTGTGTGTAAACAAAACACACTTTTTGCATATTGTCAACAAACACTGATTAAATAATACATGATCTATCAGAATGAAGGATTATTTATTCACAGTTATAGTAACTTTAAATACTTTTATATGACGAAAAGAATTTTATACCATACTTTCTGCTCAATCTTATTTAAGAAAAAAATGCACTTAAGTATAAGTTTTATGTATCTTTTTTGGATGAACCAATAGACAAACGAAAATCATTCATATAACAGTAGCCAACCAGAAGATAAACATGGAGCATGATCATAGTCATGATCACAATGCATGCTGCTGTGCAGATGACAATGTTGGTGTTCGCCAATCTCTCACTGAAATGGATTTTGAACGAGGAATTTGGTATGCAGGTATTTAATTCGATTCAATTAATATTATGAATATTTTTTTATGTAATTGTATAATTTTAATAATCATGATTTTTAGCGCAATACAATGAGGTGGATCGTGTAAAAACATTGTTGGACAAGGGTGCTTCAGCTAGTTCAGAAGATTCTGCTGGATACACACCCTTGCATTACGCGGCTCGGAATGGACATTACGATGTCTGCAAAATATTATTAGAAAAGGGTGCAATGGTGAATGCACAAACCCGGTGTGGACATGCCACTGCTTTGCATAGAGCAGCTATGCAAGGGCATGCTTATATTGTTCTCCTGTTACTCAAATCTGGCGGAAACCCCAATTTGAAAGACGCGGATGGTTATACCGCTCTGCATAGAGCACTTGTAACACGTTCTGTAACTGTATGCAAATTTCTGATACCGTGTACAGATTTAACATTACTTACAAACAAAGAACAAAGTATAGAACAATTGGCGAACGAAAAGTGTCCTGACATTTTGTCCTTTCTATCAACATATATGAAGACAGAATACAATAAATAATTAACATTGAAGGAATCATTTATTGCAAAATTAACAAATTGGTAAGGTAATTAATAAATAAGATATGTAACTGTATTGTGAATTTTAACATTTTTTGAATTTTGTTGTATAAAAACTATTCAGAGTGTAAGAAAAAGTAGAAACATTCGGCGATTAAGGATTTTCTGTTAATTTTTTTAGTAAAATTTGTATGAATGTCAGGTTCTAATTATTTATGTAATTATTGTTTTTATAAATTTATAAAATATGAAAATAAAATTATAAGCATATGATAAGTAAAAAAGTTAACATACATACCTCAATATAGTGTATTTGCGAAAAGTTATACTTTAAAACATAATTTGTACACAAAAATCTTATTTTGTCATAAATTAATATAAACTTTTTAATCAACATTATAACAATAAAACGTTATATTTTATACACTAGCAATATGTGAGCGTTCCTTCCACTACACAAGTATTTATTTCATTGTCAATATTAAAATGCAATTTATTAGAAATCATCATTAAACATAAAAAAATTAAAACAGTGTATGAATAGTGCATACACGATGTGCTTTGTAATCAATTATTTTTACAAATAAGTGTCTAATTTCTGTTCGGAACTGTTTTTATTTGCAAAACAGATGTTTTCTTATTATCGTCTATTTAAATCGCATTAACGACATTGATACCTGGCGACAAAGAGTGTGATATATTCATAATAATACCTTTTTATTAAAACCTAATCATAATTATAATTTTCTAAGGTACTTTAGTGTATGTATGTATATATGTACAATTTATTCTTGTGGTGAGAATACTGTAGTATAATTTAGGTTGTTCCTTTCTTTGTAATTTATACTTCACATATTTAAAAAGTCAGTTAAAATATACTAATCCTATTGATGGAAATAAGGAAGTTCTGTCGTGTGGGTAAGTATGTGTGTATAATTTTGGAATATTCTGTACTTAATCGGTTCTTATCATTCTTTCTTTCCTACTATAGAAGATTTATACTGTGTTAATTTTTTTCATACTTCTTTCTATTATGCACTTTTTATTCCATTCGTCCTTTATTTAGATTTTTTATCTTAAAAAAAGACTTAATATTGCATCGATTATTTCTCAAGTAGTGCCAATAAGTAAGTTTGAAGTAATATCGTTTGAAAAATTCTCAAAATGCCCAAGTCTGGTTGATGGATAAGCATCGTCGTTTGTCTCGTTCCATGTGCTCGTTGGAATGGAGGGTCGTGCACTTGATATTGAATCGTTCGTGCTTGATCGTACGTTTTCGTGTAGGTTCGGCGATCGTCGTCAAAATTCGACAGTATTCGATGAGTTGCGGTACGCGAAGCGCAGTACGGCCGCCGGAGCCCCCTCGTGATATACGGTGGTGCCATCTAGTGGAACACCTTCCGTTTTCTGTACGACTGCAATCGTTGCATGGAGTCAGTCGTTTCACGAATACCGCGGGTGGTTTGCGCGAAGGCTCGCCGCCGCCTTTAGCCGTTGTGCGACGGATCGTCCGTCGTATCGCGGTCCGAGGATTCGTCCGCGTGTCTTCGACCGCATTTCCCGCCTGGATTCCTGTGTGGTTTTATTCGTCGATTTGAGTGACAATCGCGAGCGATGTAACCGTGCCCTGACGTCACACAGCTAATCAAGTGCACACACGAACGCAAACACAGGCGCGCGCGCGCGCCTGCCACTCGTTCCGTATACACGAACGGTCTACGTAGCTGCGCACAGTGTACTATGTATGTACGGATACGTGTAGGGCCGTGTACACGGCCAAACCGATAGAGTCACACAAAGAAGAGGGAAACATTGTGATCTCGAAAGGACAGAGTGGAAAGAACGGAAGCAGGGAGAGATAAGAAAGAAAGGGAGATATATAATGCGTGTACACGTACATATATGTATATATATACATATTTCTCACGTATCGAGAGAACCGTGTTAGAGAGAGAAAAGGGGTGAGGCGTAAAACGTGTATACGGAGGACATTGTACACTGGCACACGTCTCTACTTACTCGTGAGCCTTTCGCTTTATAAAACATTACGTGTCGAAGTATTACGGAGAAAAATACAAGACCGTGAGCATCGATGTTTTTCTGTTCTCGTTTAAAATACTCTGCGCGATCGACTTTTCTCGAACGTTGCGTGTTTTTCCACATCTCGTGGCGCCCCGTTGTGTTTTTCTACGGAAAGCTGGCCTCGGAACCTGCGTGGACTTTTAGAGTGGAACAAAACGTAAAGCCAGAGGGACTTCTTCTCGTGTTGATGAATGATCAAATTCTTACGTGTTTCGTGGCATAATCGGTGAAATCTACGAACGGCTGTGCAAACCTTGAATGGATGAATTCCAGTGGATGGACGAGTTTTATCCCGATCGAACTGGTCAGTGAGTGTAATAATTTCGTGTTTATCGTACGACGTTGGTTTCTTTCCTTCCTTCCTTCTCTTTTTTTTTCTTCTCTTCACTCTGTTCGCCACTGTTATGTGAATTTTTATCGTAAGCAACGAGCGTGTATATGTGACACGATCGCGGGTGTACGTTGTTCGTGCGATAATAAGAAAGTGGGAACCCCGCGTTCCGTTTTTATTAACTTGTCGGACGGTCCACTGCTTTGAGAGTCAAGTTCGTCGCGCTTCGCTGTACGCGCTGTGTTGGCGCGCGCATACTTCCTCGCGCTTTCGGTAGCGTTTCGCGAGAAGCTTTCTACTCGTAGTGAGATAAAACATTTCTTCTGTGTGTTATCGAGAATTACCGGTAAGGGTAATGCCAAGTCACGCGCCGGTTACGTCGTTCATACAACAAACTTTAAATTAGTTTTTTTTTTTCAACGTATTGCCATAATGTTCTATCGACAGAGTGAACTTCTCTAGTCCCGACAGCCGTAGTTCTGAACGTATGCTGTAACTCTTTGCTCGTCATTTGAAGTCGATTGTTATGGCTGTAAAATGAACGGGAAATCTTTAAACAATACGCGACCAAGGCAATACAGCTGAGCGTTTTATTGGAATTCGAACAGACCGGTCTAAAGTGTTTTTATGAGTCAGACTGTGTCCTACAAAAGAGAAGTTTTGGGTTATTTCGTTTTTTTCTTTTACTTTTTAAGTTAATCTGTTGAGGTTATGTTCCTTTATCGACAAGTAATCTTTCAATTCTATGTCATAAAATATTAACATTTTTGAGGTTTTTGTGTACTTTATAAAATTATGAAGGCGAGCCTCTACCACTTTACACGTATTCCCATCGGACTGGACAGCTTTTTTGATCTAGTTTCCTGATATGTGTTCCTTTCACTTACAATTTTTTGTGCTTTTTCAAATCATAATTGATGTTTAAGTATTGTCATTAATAATAGCGGGGAATCGGAAAGAGCAAAAGTTTGAATATTACTGTTAATAATATATTCACTGAAGAAATTACTGTTAAAGAAGTTACACCTAAACAAAGTCATCAAATAAATAGATATGTACGGAAATTTAAGAAATAGGTTATGCTATTAACACAAAGGAAACAACATTTTGGCAATCGCTTATGACTTGGCAGTGCAACAAATTGGAAACAGTGACAGTACTAAAATGCTTGCAACTTGGAGTTACGGTGAATTGGGACACATGTTCACAGGAATTGTTCTTATTATTTTTGTATACCCTAAGTCACACTTGCAGTTATGCTTATATGTTTTAATACACCCCCTTTATCTACCTGACAATTTTTATTCAATCGAATACTTATTCGAAAATGTGAAGAGGATGTAACATAATCAAACGATAATTACTAATTGCTTTTTGTTTTATTTTATATTATTTATTATATACAATTATATAAGCATTACTCATATGCTATCATTCGTTTTTGGAAAAATTATAAAGTGTCTGGTGGTAGGGGAACTATATCTACTCGTTTTTATAACCAATTTTTTAATTTGTCACGTATTTCGGACACAATTTAAAACTGATACTACCAATGACGTAACGTGTCTAAGTTGAATATTCTGAATTTGAAATTTTTTACCACAATTTCTAAATTCCAGTAAGTAGACTACGGATATTTATTCGAAGTATTCTTTTTTTTCTGTTCTGTACACTCACAGTAGCCATAAATGAAAAAATCTCAAGTTTACTAGCAGAACATTCTTCAGATACGTTCGAAGCTTTTTGTTCTAAAGTGTATAAGCCGCTCGAAAACCAAGTTAATCAAGTTCTCTCTCTGTGAACCTCGTCATTTGCGTATTTCTATATATCCATCTCCATTAACCTTATTCGTAAGTGCTTTACATATGTTAACACGTTCGCCACCGCCATTTTGTGTGGTAACTATTCACAAACCACGCTAGATTTTCAACCTTCCATTCAGCGGATTATCATTAATTCTTTTTTATATTTTGAGTAATATAAATATTACGTAGGATTCAAAAAAATAAATTGTATATGTTCGGTTTTTTAAATATAAATTATGAGAATATTAAACGTCACGTTTATGTGACCGTTGGCAGTGAACTTATTAACATATGCACATTTTACATAAGGTGTATTATAATTTTGATTTGTTGATCATAAAACAAGTTAATATTGAATAAACGACGTACATAGTATTAATTTTTCGTTACATTCTATTACACGGACCTTGTCAGTTTGTCTTCGGATAGACTCAGGAAGTCAGTTTATGGCCGACGTGAAATTGGGTTCGTAATCTTTATCGGCGTTTCCCTTCGACGGAATACCTTGTTGCGCGGACTGTTTGTTTTAACCCGCGAAATACATTTTCTCCCGCTGTTATCTAGGGCTGTCAGACCAGGAGGGGGGGGGGCGGAGTTTTCGAATTCCACGGGAGAGCCGTGCCCCGTGGGTAGGGAACTTAAACGTCGACGACGACAATATCGATCAACTTTTCCTAAACGTGCCTCGTGCTACATATGTTCCGTGGGACGGGAGCGGAATGGGGTGTGGACATGCGCGTATATACGGAGCATTGTATTACTAGTGCGTCGGGGACAAGTGCGAGACGCCATATGATGCGCGAGAGATCACGACGACGTACACTGGCGATCTTTGTTTCGGGAAAAGAAAAAAGTATCGACCGGCCGCGAGGGACATATAAAATTAATACCTAGATAAATACCGTATCTGCTTATTATTCGAACACGCAATAGCAAGAGTGGGGGACTGTCTCAGCTTCATGGAAACGACATGTTTCGCTGACATCGTTTAGTAAGAACTTGGTCACGCCTATCGGTCGGTTAATCGATAAAAATTTACAATTATCGTAACGAATTGTGGTGTTATCGATGGGCACGGGCGCGTGTAAGCTGTTTCTTCGTGCAACGAGAAGTAAAAATTGTAGATTAGAATAGACTATGTTTAGAAGCAGTGGATTTTATGCATTCGTAACGGGATGAAATGAACATTTCAGTAAAGTTTAGTATAGATTCTATCTTTTTCTTTACTTAGTAAAATGATTCATTGAAGTGTCATGTCAGAAATCATGATTTTGCATTAACATCTGCAGTCTATCTATTCATTAGTGCTTGCAGGAAGTAGAAATGGTATAAAATGAACAGACTGGTCAGTTAAATTCCAGTGAATTTGGCGAATTTTGAAATTTCGTTATATACTCTATATTTTTTATCTAGTTTTGCACGTGGCATCAGTTTATACATATACATATTTGTACAATACCATCAATATTGTTGCACTAAGTATATTTTCAATATATTAACTATATTTGTGATTTCGCTAATTAATAGAATTTTGGTACAATTGGATAATAGGAAAATTATGTTTTAACCCTATTCGGTGCAATAGTCTTGATACGGTCCTTTTAAAACTAAACCGAAGACGATTTTATAAATGAAAGCAGTTCTATCTTCTTGGAATTTGATTGTTACTATGTCCATGATAAATCATGGAAATGTATAAATATTCGTAAAATAGAGTACAAAGCGAAGAAAACTATTCGAAGTTAATGCGATAAAACGATGACCACTAGCGGAAGCTCGTGGATAGGTAGCGTAGCGTATTATGGACTCCTCTCACTAGCGCAGACACATAGGTTGAACACGCGTGGTATAGTTGCATCAAGGCTTTTTTAATGATCCAATAATGGGAATTGTTGCATAACTTTTGCAAACACGATTTCATGTTCAGTTTATAATAATCAAATCATAAGGATTATAAAAATGTGGTACCAATGGAATAATACGATAAATATGATAATGTCCCATTCATTTGATTCCATTCATTGAGCACTTTGGATGCCATTAATAAAGAGTACTATGTTAGACGTCGTCATTGAATGAAAATGATCCTGTATCCGCCAGGCGAGGGTTACTAAAAATACTGTGTCACTGGTGTTTTCAGAAGTAACTTATACACGATACATTCATCAAGCAAGGAAATGTTTTTCTCTAAAACATTGTAAAGATAGCACACGATTTCATAATCTGTCACTTACGACCAGCTATCCGTAGCCATTGTAATTTATCACACCCGTTCAATGATGTTTTTTCTAATTGTCAGGATCGACAAGATTACAAGGATCTCATCTGGAACCTCCGCGAAACGAGAACACGAGGACGACAGAAGTTTGGGCAGCTTGATCTCAGCTAGATTCTCGAAGGAACGAACAATTCGCCGATGCTCGCTAGTCGACACGATCCTCTACCCGGGTCTATCCAGAAGAATCGTCTGTCGCTGAATATTTATAAGCGATTCCGCGTTTGGAAAGCGGATAGAAAACCGACCGATCGTTCCTAAACAGCAACGACAACGACGACGACGACGACGACCTAGCCAGTGGGGAGGGGGAGTCAGAAAAAAACCGTGTGGAGAAAACAAGAGGAACGCCTAAGGTTTCTATTCTTCGCCGATAGGTTACGCGTACGGTTCGTGAAAAAGGAGACCATTGGATGTCTCTGTCCCCTCTGCTGCCTCTGTGCCGCGAGTGTGTGTGTGAACGAGCAAGTGAGAAAGTAACCGACGAAAAGTGAACCCGATGTTTGGTAGCGGGAGGGAGACGAAGGTGACGCTGCTCAGTCGATAAGGAGCGTTCCACGCAGTGCCAACAAGACGGACGTGCGCTCGCATCGGTATTTCGGTGATTGTCCCTCGGTGGTGTGATAGTGGTGTGTGAATATTGTTGTCGTGCGAGGGAGAGGGAACACGACCGAATGTCGGTAAACGAAGAGGAGAGATATGATAGAACGATGCGATCGAGAACGCGTGTCCAGTCCTCGAGGGTCGCCCGAGGAAGAGAAACTATTCGTCATCTTTGTTGAGTTCGAATTTCGCGCGCGTTGACACGTGACCGCCCGCCGCGTGCCGTGCACACAGTGGACGTCATACGGTTGAACGAGGATAATTATATTCGTTTCGTTTGATTTTTATTTTACACTTTCGCGGTGTTCCGTGAGCCCCCGCGACTGCTGGTGGACTTACACGAACGACGGAAAACTCGATCCTCGGTGGTTCTGAAGGTTCTTTAACGTCATGAAATTGTCGCTAAAGAGGGAGAAGGATCGGTAATCGTTCGACGACGGGACCTCGGAAGTGTTTCGTGGGTGATGTTAAGTGGTGCATTCGATCGTTCCCGGTGGTGTTAACCGCGTTTGTTGGTGGTGCGGTAGTGTGGTGAAGGGTGGTAGCCAGTGGTGGTGGGCAGATCGTGTGAGAAAAAAAAAAGAAAATAGACAATTGTGACTCTTTAACTTGTTACCACGGATCTCCCCCGGCAGTTTGACGCCACAGCCATCCTCGATGAGAGGAGGCACATGTCCATTGCTGCCGCTGAAAATGCAGGGTAAGTTTTGGACTGTTTTTTCTCTTCTTTATTCCCGTGTCCTCGTCTCTCGTGGCTTATTGTTCCATCAAAGCGTGGTTTCTACTGCTTTATTGTCATCGTGGTCGTTCGACTCTTATACCGGTTACATGTACACTTGTGAGCACACTCAATTTCCACTAGGGGAAAAAATGACGTAGAGGAAGGACCTTCTGCCATTTGTTATCGGGAATTATTGGAATGTATGCTAAATTAACATTCAATTTAACATTTATTTCAGTACTTAGAATAAATTTATCAAGTTGTAGGAGGCCCTTCCCCTATGTCACTCTTTTCCCTAGTGGAAGCCGAGTTTGCTCGCGAGGGTACAGGGTGGTTCACAATATAGGTTACCAGTTTTCTAACAAGTGCATATGGCATAGAAAGTAAATTCGAAAGGGAAAAATGTATTTTGTTTTCTTATACATTGCTGGCCATAATTATAAGCTTATCTCTTTCGTTTCATTTTTTGTTTGTAATTTAAGTGATAGTTAATTATCAGCTTCAAAAAGACGTGACTTATGAAATTGAATTGAGTCCTAAATATAATACATCCTCCTATTTTTTGCTCTGAATGTGCCAACTCGATCAATAACCGAAGACAGACGGAAATGGCCGTTAAGTGTTAGGGAAAAGTTTCTTAGTCAGCGTAAAACACAATTCTAATTTACAAAACAAACAAAACGTAAAACAACTGAATTGTACAAAATAGACACGTGTGATTTGAAAATTGCTGAATGGAATGGGAACTGCCTGGAAAGATGACCAGGAAAACGAGTCTCTTCATACTTTTCTTGCGATTAAGTAGAGAAAGGTTAAAGGACCGTGGTAGTGTTACGGAAATAGAAATACGATTGAGTCCAAGAACATCCGAAAACCGTAGCTGTGTTAAAACTATTTAATTCAAAGGTGATTTTATTACGTTTCGACAAGGTTACGTAAGGACTAATATCCATATCTGGCCCCGTCAGTCATATCTGATTACACTCGGTTTTGAATAATTAGGGTATCTGGCTACGTACAGTATCCCGAAACAGTCAGTCAGTAGGTCAGCAAGTGCTGTCGGACGTTCTGATACAGAATATGTGTTATATAGTAGAACGAATTGACTTTAAACGTTTCAGTTCTTCGTACTCTTATTATGTATTTAATTACAAAATACGGTTATACACTGCGTGGCATAACTATAAAACCACCCTAAAGTTTTCAATTCTTATATATTATGGTTAAAATAAAAACGAACCACTATTATTTTTAGGGAATATAATCTATACTTTTCTGAAGAAACATTATTTCTCAATACGATTTTATACATGTCATACTTGGTTCGTTTTTATTTTAACCATGATACATAAGAATGGAAAATTTGAGGGTGGTTTTACAGTTGTGCCGGTGTAAATCTCTACTAAGGAATAAGAAGGCTGCTCTTATACACTGAAATATATCATAATAGTTTTCGTTACTATTTATAATTATGTAATATTGGCAACCCGTAGTGGATAACTTGTATAAGGGCTGCTCATTGGAAGAGTTAATATTAAGTAAATGGAACTGTTACCGTAGTTGCTCGACACAATTAACCTCTTAAGTGAGGAATTACGCGGACGAAAGTTCTCCACCCGCTTCCTTCAGTCTTCATAGCAATTTACTGTTTCTTCGGATAGTTGTAGTTCCGACTATGCATAGTGTTCGCACAATCATTGGTCTGCGTTTGTCCGCGTAATTGACTGAACGTATGGAACAAATTTAACTGTATCTTGTATACCGTAGATTGCACTAACCATTTGTGCAACATTTCTCAAACAACAATTTTTTCAGCAAAGAAAGTAAGTTTTTCAATTCCACGGTAATGGGACACAATGATCTAGATCGTGCAAGATGACGAATGCAGATTGATTCGAACGTCGTTTCGCGGAGTAAGAAAAATAATTCGAACATTCTTGCGTTCCTCGTCCATAGCTCCCAAACGGATCCCCGTTTTATTGGATAGCCCGCACAACGTGCAATATTCGTTATGCTCGCGTGTCATTCTTTAGATAGCGCAGTGCCCCATTCGTCGGCCCAGAAATACACAATATATTCTCACGAGAAGAAGAAAGGAACGGTGCATCATCCGTAGTTATGTTTGAGTTAAAAAATTTAAGAGCTCTCCCTTTGAAAGGTTGAATTGTGCCGACACCTGCTGCCCCCCCCTTCTTCCCGCTCTTCTTCTTCGTCTCTTTCATTTTTCTCTTTCTCTCCGATGGAAACCTCCTTTTGCATCCAGCCTCTTCCAGTTTCTACCGAACCTATCTCGAGCCCCTGTCTACCTGAGAATACCTTTCTCGTATCCCGAATCCACCTTCCGCGTACACACTCAGGCCCGCGCTGCTTAAAACTATCTCGTGGCGTTTCTGTCCGTTGTTCCTCTCGTGGCTCTATCAATATTAACACTTTCGTTGGCGGCACCGTGCCTCGGCTGTTTGTACACCGAGCACAGATTCCATATGAAATTGTATATATACCCTCGACACCTTTTTCTTTCTTCGATTTTCGTGATTGATTTTCGGGATTGATTTTTGTGATCGAGATTCGATGACCGAGATTCCCGCTGTAATCGTCGATTTCTGAATTCGATTGTACTGGGTGTCTTATCTAACTCGAGTCACCACCCGTTGTTTTCGATGGCTCCAAAAGATGTTGCGGATAGAAATAGTTTCTTTTTTATGTTTTTAAATGACAAATACATAGGAAGCTTTCTTACTTTTTATTTGTCGTTGACATTTGTTAGACTACTTCAGGTAACATTGAAGTACTTGGAAGAAGAAATTTATGTTGTTGAAAGTTACTTAAGAATTCTGTTCGAATGATTAATTTCATGTATTAATGGATATATTCTTTTTTCTTTGGTACAGTAAAAGTAGTTTGCGTATGTCACAGTTGAAGTGTGAAGTTTAGTAAATGTCTACACTTACTAGTCAATGTATGCATTTACGTACGATTTTAGCAGAAGTATGAATCAAATATTAGAATGTACAGTATTTCATGTAAATATATTCATTTACTAGATACATAATGCATGCATTTTCTACAACTCGTAAGTAAAAGCATTATATCGAAAGTATAATTTTTTAAGATATATGTATATTTTAAAAACAAAGATGAAAACTTAACATTTTATTTGATAATTTAAGGATCTTTTTTAAGAAAATTGGTTGTTTTTATTTAATAAATATAAACACAGGTTAGATTATATTTTTATTAACTACCTATATAAACTGTAAAGACGCGTTCCGATTATGCTAAAATTTATAGATGATTCATATGAACAAACTAGCAAAAGTGTTTATTGCAAAGTGAAAGTAAAAATTTCGTTCCTTGTGAATACATTTATTAACCAGATTAGTAAGTGCATACATTGATTAGAAAATGTATACATTATTCAATTAACGGTTTTAGTGTAACATATACGTGAAATTATATATTATAATATCAAAATATATTTTTAATACGTAAAAAAAGAATCGCGTAACCATGTATAAGGAGCAGGTTTATTGTTTGAGAATATAACTTGTAGGAGGATAGCTATCATTCAGCGTTAAAACGATAGTAACATTTTTAGACACTATTAGACAACTCGTTTGATAAGAAACTTGCGTAATGATACACGGTCCCCGTTGCTTTGTACTGCTGTTTCGTGTAATCGATACACTGTACACGTACTTGCGTAACAGTCGATGGACACTTTCGGAACAGATGTCAAAAAAACCTTCGATGCTTCTCTCTCAATTAGTGGCAACCTTACATTCCACATAAAAGAAATATAAAATCTATTCTATCGTGCCAAAGAACGATTCGACGGGTTTCTGTGTTTGTATTCGTGTCGAGAGCTTACCGGGAGCTCTTCCTTCGCCTTTCAATTGCGATAACTTCACGTAACCCTTTCGGTGAACAAACACAAGTAACCTTTGTTCCATTCAATCCATCCGGGACTCGGAAATATACACCAAGCAACCTGCATTCGAGGTTCCGAACAATAAGACGGGGGTAGAAACAAATTTTTCCATCATTAAAATGTAGAACTTTGCTTCTGTGCTTAGCAAAAACAAATAAACGAATAAAGGGCGAAGCAGTTATCGACTCGTTTCTACCCCGCGTTTACCGTTCCGTGATATGAAACATCTTTGTATTTTAAATCCGTTAAAAATATTACTTGTAAAAGAATTGAAAAGGAAATCTTTTTTCCAACCTCGAAACTATTGACAGTCAGATGTAAAGTTCAAATTTTATATTTTATTGTTGCTTTCTCTTAACCCTTCGAAAGGCCGAGCTAGATTTATCTTAATTTCGTAAAACAAGCTATTTTTCGGGCAAATGTAGAACTCAAATTGCTAGTTGACATCTAACATCTAGGGGGCAAAAACATAAAAAGACCATAAAAACCGTCCTTCAACCACGTCCATAAAATCGTCAGTTCCTGAAATTTTCACCTAAAATTTCAGTAGAATACTCTTACGACGTCAAGACCACACGAGTAAAGTATAAAGCGTGGATTGCTCCGATCGAAGAATAAAAAGAACACTTGCAAGAACCTCGAAAAGAGGGGAAACCGTTGTTCCCCGTTGGACGAGGACCGCTTTTTGGGAATACAGGTTCGCCATAGGTCTCGTAATCCCATCCGGACGATATGTTTTATTAGCTCGTAAACACGACCTTAAGTCCTCCGCGGCTGAGGCTGCGGCGGTGGCGGCTACGCGGAGCACAGAGTACATTCGAAAATAACAGGCCACCACGGAACGAGATTCCTTGACTCGCTTTCAGGCTCGCCGGGCGCGAAGGATAAACGAGAGACACACATCGGTGGCCGGGGCAGCAGCCTCTCTCGCGTGTCTCCTACGTATCAATTCTCTCTCCCGGGTATTAAACGAGATGCAATACGCGTATCGGAAAACAAGACGTGTGTCCACGGGTCGTCCACGACTGACACGGGTGGGGGGCTTCGC